GGACACTTTTTGACAGCGCTCCGTTGAGTTTCAACACAGGCGTCTCATATTTTCGGTCTCGGCAGACTATTACCGTCGTAGTTTCATCCAAAATATGGTTAAACGTTGTGCATACAGATACGCGTTTCCCAGAGAGGTTGGGTGTCCGTTTTTTCGAAGTCAAATCCTGACAGTGACAACTGTCGTGTTTGGATTAAACTGTATGGACGTCCTCGGCTCAGTCTGCAAATATCAACAAGCACATCTTTTTTTACTTCAAACCTTACTGTGAGTGTGAAGTTATACTAGTTAGACCGTTTTATAATGTTTTAGGTGATGATTTCGGTTCTACCGGTTGTTGATACGCTAGCACACGCTGCTAATAAATACAACGTTATACAGTACTCGTGTAGTCCGTTTGCTTTGTAATAACGATTATAGGAGTGAATACAGACCTACCAGCTTTGCATGAACAGTGTTGCTCCCTGATATTGTAAGTCCAGCCTCCGTCTCGATTAGTAGGAAATGCGGTGGTTCATTTTTTGACTATGATAACGTTATGCTTTTGCCTCTATTTGAATGCTTTGTTGTTTCTTGCGTTTCACCTGTATGTCTTGAATATAGCCTTCGAAAGCATATTGCAGCCCCTTTTGCCTACTTCTATCGGACACTTTATTTGCTGCTTTATAAAAGTTTGATAACATTTCAGCAGGAAGAGCTGTTACAGCATAAGCCATGCAGAGCGCAGATGAAGTTTGACGGATGTAGCAACAGTAACTAAGGGGGGCGGGGCTTAGCCAAAGGTGAATTGTCACCCACCTTTTTTGAGAATGGATATTACAATGCACTATTAAAACTTGGTTGTAATTCAAGTATGCTTTGGAATAAAGACCAAAGTTTAGTCTTGTTTTAAAGAAAACACTCAGCAGATTATTGCTGAAGTAAAAGCACTTCAAAAATAAAAGTATGAAAAAGTTTTGGAAGTCTTAAATTGACATTAAATCAAATAAACTGTACTAAATATTTTTTTCTTTTATATAAAATATATACATTACAAAATATTTTTTTCCTATAAATTACTGTAAAATCAAAGCCATATATCTAACCAAGTTGTGTTCCAAATTTGAAGTTGATATCACAAAAATTGAAGTTCTCATGAGATTTTGTTTTGGCGTAATACCAAAAATGACAAATTCCATTGAATTTAATTGTATGCATTCTGCTGTAACAAATTAATCAATTTCTGTCCAAATATCACTTCAGTTACAAAATATGGAACCTTGAGACTCAGACCTTTCTGACAATGTGTTTTGTCAAGACTAGAAAAGGTTTTGATCATAAATTATGATGGGCAATGAAAAAGTATGGCAAAGTATGTGTATGAATTCTGGAACCATTTATTACCATTAAGTGACATCTCAACCATTTGGTAGAGACCGATATTTAAAAAATGATGGGATGTGTTGAAAAAAAAAATACATTGAGTGTGGTTAGACATTCTAGACTTTATTTGTCCCCATAGGGCAATTAGTTTTGCAACAAGATAAGCACAGAACTGTCACAAATGCACAAGACAAAACACATAAAAAAACACTTAGGGCCAATCTCAATTCTACCCCTTACCCCTTCACTTTCTCCTAGCCCTACCCCTACCCCTTCGCCTTCCCCTTGACCCTTGAAACAGAGTGGCAATGCGTAGGGGTGAAAATATTCCCCTAAGAAATGGGACACCACTACGCCTCCGTTAAACGTCATTATAAGTCGTCGCTAGCGCCTACGTCACAGGAGATGCGCTGATGTTTATCACAACTTCCAAGATGCCGTCGACAGCTGCAGTTATCTCAGTCGCGTGGGTTACAGCTATTTTCTTGCATTTATCTTGTGAAGTTCGCAGGAAACAACGGAGACGACGAAAATATGTTGCGGGACTATCGTTAGCAAACTACAGTAATTTTTGCGATTTTTTTTTAACAAACGTTTCTGTGAAGAAACTGACCGTAAATATGAACACAATATTGAATGTAACATAAAGCAAATCATTGTTTGTCGTTACAATACTTATTTAAAGCCACAAATACTTAAATTTATGGGTCTCCTTTGTTGCTTGGGCAGCCAGCCTGGATTAGCAGTGACACTTCTCATACCCCTTCGTTTGAAGAGTGCTCCCGAAAAATCTTCGTTTGAAGGGCTATCTGGCCCTTCTCCCTAGCCCTCCCCCTCCAACCAAAAGAGAATTGGGACAACCCTACCCCTTCACGTGGACGCGCAAAACGGAGGGGAAGGGGAAAGTGAAGGGGTAAGGGGTAAAATTGGGATTGGCCCTTAATGCAACAGGCCCTGAATATAAAAAACAGAATATTGTATAAATATAATCTTTTATAATCGTATAATCTTATTGTATAAATTCATCTTTTCTGAGAAATTGAAGCAAAAAAAAAAAATCCTTATTTTATGTTTCCATTGTCAACAGTGCAGCAGCTGCAGACCATGAGCGGGCTAGCTAGCGAGCTCATTGGTTGCTCTGCGGCAAACTGCTGCAGCCTATAGACAAACTCGAGTGAACTCGCGTCCAATGAGAGGCACTCACACCATCATTACATCACAGCCCGCCAGAAGGGGCGTGGCTAAAATGTATATAAGCACAGTTCGCAGGCTGCATCCCTGATTTTCATCTCTTCAGAAAAGCACTTCGCATCTCTGAACTGCAGAAGCCACGTCGCCATTGAGGGGCATCTAGCAAACCTGGACAGCGGCTGAAGAAGCCGGCTGTCTTCGCCACCTTCAGCCATCCTGCAAGCTACGCCATCCGGTTGACGTATCCTTTTTAGAGCATAAGTTCCAAGTGAACTTCACAAAAGAGCAAGCGAGTGTCTTTTTAAAGATGTCTCGCACCACCTGCGGCACATGCCGCGCCCCTCTCAGCGCCGAAAACCACCATCTGCGCTCTCTGCCTGGGACAGGAACACGAAGAGCTCATTCTAGCCAGCGGCGGATGTGACCTCTGCGAAGAGCTTCCATTGTCGACCCTGCAGACTCGACCCGAAGCGTTTAAAGCCGAAGCCGCCGCACCGCCTTTCACCTCGCCGCGAAAGAAGAAGCGCTGCTCCCAAAGGCTGCCGGAACCACCGATGGAAGCGACTGTCTCGCCGGACCCTCACCCTCAAGCCTCGCGTGGAGAAGTCGTCATCCATTTTCCCGCCGTTGTTTTCTTTTTGGCTAGCAACGGAGTTGTAGTCTGTTAGCTTCAGCGCTTCAGTTCTGCCTTTACATTTCTGTTTCCTATTCTGTTTTTGTTCAGACATAATATGGTGTAAAATCGTTACAGACAACAATAAAGTAGTTCCACCGTTGTTAAAAGCAAAGTTGGGAGGCCAGAAGACTGTTATTAAGCAAGCAGCTCTGTGGTTGCGACTGAGCACTGCTCCGCCATTACCCGAAGTCTCGACACTCTTGATCCTTCAAGTCTTATCTCGAAATATTCAGGGGAAAGCCTCAGTTCTTCATGAGGCTTCATTTCCCCATCCCTACAGTACACACACACACACATTGCTTACTGTGCCAAAAGGCTTACACCCTGGTTATCCAGTGCTGACTGTGCCATTCATTTGCCAAATGTTGTCCAACTATTTTGTAATTGTAACGGAGTTCGTTGTTATAGAAAAGAGGAGGTGGGAACCGGCAAACATTCAACACTTTTAATACAAAATAAAACATCTACAAAAACGAAAGAATAAGCCAGCAGCCCCTTGCGGACGACAGAAACAGAACACAAGTTCAGGCCTGTTCCTCTCTCCTCTCTCACTGTCTCCTCCTTTTATGCTTCCGCTCCTCCGTGAGGAGATACGAGAGATACTGTGCGTCGCGAAGGAGTCGCTCATTATCAATCACACCACCGGCCTTGCGCCGACCTCACAAGTCCTGCTCACCACAGCAATGTAATCGGGCCATATTTGCTACGTCATGTGTGGGCCACTTTAGGATCTCATTCATATTCACAGTGATTACTGTCCCTCATCTTTGCCAAAACTGGCTCTGATTTGTTATAAGATAACTGGCCACATTTGCTGCTGCATATGTGGGCCATATTTGGTTTACACCCAGATTAGTCATTGTCGATTGTGCCATTTTTGTGCCATAGGTGGCCCACATTTGGTTTGTGATATTTGGGCCATATTCATTATTTATCATACGGGCCACTTTAGGCCCACATTCAGATTACACATTGCCATGAGTGCCGCATCTTTGCCTAAAAAGGCCCACATTTAAAATATTTGGGCCATATTTGCCATTTTACACGTGGGCCACTTCAGGCTCACACACATTTTGTCGGGGTCATAAGAAGGCTTGCAGTGTCGCATCATCGCCTGAAGTGGCCCACATCCGTCTGCTATCTGAGGAGCGAGTGAAACACACACAAATTCGTCCACGTCCAATGCAATACCGAGAATTTATATTGAATTTTATACTCCATGGTTATATTAAAGAAACGTTAGTCACAAAAACAGACACCCCTCGTTGTGTTTATGCTTCTTTTAAAAATTATATTAAATAAACATAACTATATATAAAATTACTTCTAAACGTATGTACGTTTTAGACGGGAATCCCGTTTTCCTTGGTTTTCCTCCGCTTTAATCTCCACAACCGGAACTGGACGAGCATCCTTGCGTCAAATGCGGAACTTAGGCGTGCATATAGCCCATTCTGTCAGTATTTACTCACCCTCAATAACAATAAATTTATTCTGTGTATAAAATGTTAGAGAGATAATGTAAATGTTTAAAAGTTACATGTAAACTTTATATCGTTTGAAACATGTATGTGCTATACTTGATGATCACGTTCATGATTAAAAATAGTTGAATAATTCTGGATGAGTTTAGTCTAAACATTATTAAATATGCAGGCGTGATAGTGAAGATTTCTGCTGACACTCATCTGAGCTTCTTCCTCTGTTCCTCCTTTAATTACAACTAAACCATCATTTGGCTGAATAATAAACCAACATTAATCATTCAATATCACATGTTTCTAATACGCATGCTAACACACACGCTGCTTTATTTAATAGTGAAGTCTGAGTCTCTTCCACCTGTATGAAACACATTTACACATGTATTTCTCCTCATAGACAGCAGTGAGACTCTTCTGTGGATCACCTGATGGTTTCTGCTCCTCTCATGATGATTTCAAACTATAACGCAGAGCTATTCAATTGGCAGCCCGCGGGCCAAGTGCGCCTCGTCAATCAATCTCCATACATAATCATCTTCATCTCCACCCCAACCTCCCTCCTCCTATTTTCTGGTGGTGCACCTAAATTTGGTTAGATATGCACATGGCCGTCGTGGCGCCTGCAGCTGGACGACTATACGCACTGTATGTGTACCATGAGCACTCTGACTGACCTGAGAGAAACGTTTTCAGTCCGAATATTTCAGCAGTTATTATGTGTGTCCTGTATTTCTGTCGACTGAACCAGCGATATCAATCATTCGTTGGTTCGATTATTTCCTTTCCATGAATTGGCCAAATCCAGATTCGTTCGGACCGTTCTGTCACTGAATCATCTGAAGCGGTTTCTCGGTCAGTAACAATAAATAGAGAACAAAATAGCGCTGTTTCAGTTGTTTAACTAGTTTACTTTAAACTAGTCAGCACGGCTCAGAGGATAACGGAACGCAAAGCTTAAAGGAGTTGCGTTTACTCACGATCCGGACACTATTATTAAACAGCGTTGCGAAATCCAGTGAGAAGCGTTTCAATCGGACGCTCCTCTCTCTTACAAACCACAAATCACTCAATGATTTTAACTAGTTTTAAATCGGATGAAACAGCCTTAACATTCCCAACACTACTGATGAGGTAAATAGCAGAAACATGAACAAAGTTAGAAGACTATAAATCACCACCCTTACAAACATTTACCATGAATGTAATAATTTACCATGATTTGGGCAGAAATGTGGAATATTTATATTTAATACTATGTTATAGTCATTTATATTGCATTAGATGTATTAGGGGGGTAAAGGACTGTATAATTCATTGTGTGTATAGTTTTTACCTGTTTAGGTATTTTTGTGAGCCATACATGATTTTGCCTATGGTTACAAAGTCTCACTGTCAGGATATTTTTAACCTCAACCTCAATTTTTAACCCACCTCAACTTTTCGATTTAATAATCCGGCCCTCAAATGAAGCTAATTGAATAGCCCTGATATAAAGCATTCATCAGAGTTTGGTGAACGATCTTCAACAGAGATGTTTGATGATCGATCTTCATCTACTCTGTAAAGTGGAACAAAAGAGAAAACAATCAGTGTTCGGTGGAACAAAGTGCTGTTTTTCTTTAGTAAAAGTAAGTTAAATTGAATTGGTAAATGAAGATGTCTTTAATATCTCAGTGATGTTTCCTCACCTCAGGACACAGTTTGAGTCTCGTAGCTCGTCTCTGAGCCGCTGCTTTGAGTCTCCTATCTCATTGTTAATCAGATCAAGCTCTTTTAAAAACTGCAGAGCTTTTGAGTCAGTCAAAGATTGAGTTAAAGAAGAAACATCTGTAATGCCACAGCTACTTAGACTAGAAAGACACAAACAGAGGAAGAGAGATTATCTTACAAACAAATCATGAATGTGAAGAATTTTACACAGATATAATGTGAACTCAGACTCACTGTCAGATATTGAGAATAAAGTGTTTTAGTTTAATAAACCCAGAAAGTGCACTGCTATAACCAATGAAACATAAGCCCTGCTGTCTTCAAATAAATAAACTTCAGTCACACTGTAATTGCTGTGCAGTATAATGACACTAACTGTAGTTTCTCCAGCTTGAATTGTGGGTTCATCAGTAGATCACTGAGGTGCTTCACTCCTGAGTCTCCTAGATTATTCCTGCTCAGGTCCAGCTCTCTCAGGTGTGACGGGTTTGATTTCAGAGCTGAAGACAGGATGAGACTCTGTTCCTCTGTAATACTGCACCCTAACAGACTGAAGACAGAGAAATAGTTCACATCGATGATGATCATCTTATTGAAGAGCCACTACAGCAGCATTTAGTTTCCTTTCGAGAGAACTCAAACTGTGCCAAATGACACTTTGGGGCACGCCCCTCAGCGTAGCGCCTCTAATGTATGAATGAAACTAAGCCAATCTCTGATTGGTGTTGGGTCATGACGTAATGTGTGACGACACATAAGCGGAAGCTATAAAAGGATCCGGCAGACATGAGTTGTCAGCTTTGTGTTCTGTCAGTCCTATTTGGTGCTGTTTGTCCCATAAGAATTGTCCTTAATTATTGCAATATGGAATCTAGTGGCTCGGATCTTGCGTTTGCCGAGGCAGCGTGTAGATTTAAGGTCTGCATTGCAATAAAGAGTCTATTGACTTGGATCTCGCGTTTGTTGAGGCAGCTCGTAGATTCGGTCTACTCTGCAAAAAAGATTCTGTGACTGGGATCTCGCGTTTGCCGAGGCAACGCGTAGATTTAAGGTCTGCATTGCAATAAAGAACCTATAGTGACTCAATTCTCGCGTTTGTCGAGGCAGTGCGTAGATTCAGTCTACTCTGCAATAAAGATTCTGTGTGTGTGCGAGGCATGCACAGTCAGCTCCTGAGGGCGCTGGCTTTGTTCATTGAGAAATATCTTGACGCACACAGAGCCGTGTGTTCGTGCGTTTCAGCCTCGCGCCCAATGACTTTATTCTCGAGAGATGAAAGCCAAATATATTGTGAATGACTCGAATCTCGCCGTTGCCAAGGCAGTGCGTAGATTATGAGTCTAAAATAACAGGAGGACCCAATCTGGGTAATAATTTTGTTTTGTGCGAGGCATTCACAGTCTGCTCAGGGTGCTGGCAGTGTTCATTGAGAATTATCTCGACGCGTAAGCTGGATATTTCAGCCTCACACCTGTTGACTTTCTTTTCGAAGGATGAAAGCCAAATATATTGTTATGGCTCGATTCGCCACGCGAATTGAGTCCATCCTGGCCACAGTGGCCGGGATAAAGCTAGGCCAGCCATCACCGTCAAGCATTTCCAGAAAATGTTGGGGGTCATGGCAGCAGCGTCCAACATCATTCCACTCGGCCTGCTGCACATGAGGGCCCTTCAGTGGTGGTTGAAAACCAAGGGATTCTCCACGAGGTGAAACCCATTCCGCACGATCAGGGTTATGCGCAGATGCCTTCGTTCCCTATCTATGTGGAAGAAAGATTGGCTTCGGTCCCAAGTTCCAGTGTTGGGAGCATCATGTCACCGGAAAACCGTTTCGACAGACGCCTCCCTCACGGGCTGGGGCGCGGTCATGGACGGCTGCTTTACGACAGGCTTATGGCAGGACCATCATTCCTCCTGGCACATAAACTGTCTGGAAATGTTGGCGGTCTCCCGGGCTCTGAGGAGCTTCCTGATGGACCTCAGAGGTTACCACTTCCTTGTGAGGTCAGATAATATGTCGGTAGTGGCCTATATAAATCATCAGGGGGGACTGAGGTCTCGCCCTCTATGCAGACTGGCGCATCAGATCCTTCTGTTGTCCCAGGGGAAACTGTTGTCTCTGAGATCAACATACATCCCGGGGAGTCAAAATCAGGGAGCAGACACTGTCCACTGTGGTTTTCCCTCACCCCTCCAGCTCTGCTCCCGGGAGTTCTAGAGAGGGTCTGTTGCGACGGGATCAGTCTACTGTTGGTATCCCTGTTGTGGCCGGCCCAAGTATGATTCAATATTTCACCCATGGCTGGAGTAGTGGAGACCATACACAGGCCATACTCAGACATCAGTTGGTCGTACGTTTCCTCCGTGGGGCTTGGAGGATGAAACCTGCGGCTCGTACCAGGGTTCCCACATGGGACCTGGCAGTGGTTCTTGAAGTGTTGGCTGAGGCCCCCTTTGAACCATTAGAGTCAGTTGAGGCCAAAAACCTGTCGCTGAAGGTCGCTTTTCCGTTGGCCGTCACTTCTCTAAGGAGGGTGGGAGATCTTCAGGCACTCTCCATATCTAACGAGTGCCTGGATTTTGCTCCAGGCTACATTAAGGCCACCCTTCACCCTAGGCCCGGCTATCTGCTTAAGGTGCCGTCCAGTGCGGCACGGCCTATGGTTCTGCAGGCGTTTCATACTCCATCTCACGTGACTGCGAATGAAGAGAGACTTCACTTGCTCTGCCCTGACAGAGCACTGAGAATTTACATTCAGAGGTCCTCTTCATGGCGGAAGGAGGACGAGTTGCTCGTATGTTTCGGGTCTCCCAAGAAGGGGCTTCCCGCTTCTAAGCAGACCATCAGCAACTGGATTGTCCTTGCGATTTCCACGGCCTACCAGGTGCGCAGTAAGCCTTCACCTTTGGCCGTAAGGGCTCATTCCACTAGAGGCATGGCGTCCTCTAGGGCCCTTCTCGCGGGGCCCCCATCCAGGAGGTCTGCGATGCAGCTGGATTCGCCACTCCCCATACCTTTATTAGGTTTTATAGTCTGGACATTCCGTCAGCACCCGGCTCTCTTGTGCTCTCGTCCTAAGTTTGCCTGTGAGCAGCTTCACAATAGGGCAGGCAGGGCGCGTTGTTCCCCCAAAGTGTCATTTGACACAGTTCGAGTTCCCTCGAAAGGGAACGTCCTTGGTTTACGACTGTAACCCTTGTTCCCTGAGAAGTAAATTAAACTAAATACAAACTAAATAAAAAAACACAAACATGAGCAAAAGGGAAACCCAGAAAGTGCACTGCTATAGACGCTTTCAGCAGCGACAACATAAACAAACGGTACTGCGCATGTGCATTAATCTGGCCCAAACTTAACTTCCGGCAGACTTGCGGAGACAATCCATAACAAGTAAATAACCTAGTAACTGGCATTTCTTGCCAGTCAAACAAAATAAATGTTACCTGGCCAAACTGAAATGTGACACTACCAGACCCGTTGAACAAAAATTGGAGACAAGATGTTTTTCTACCGACGTGTCTGATTTACCGCAGTGTTAAAAAAAACTGTGGCGAGCGCGACGGCGGTGTTTGATAAGGTTAACATAGCTCTCCTTATTAGCTAGGCTTCTTACATGCTTGCTAACCTTTTTTTAAGGTGGGTCTCCACATTGACAGCATGTTGGATGGATCTGTGCAGCGCTGTTTATGATACTAACCATTCAATACACAGACTGGTCCGCTGTCAATGTGTTTGCGAGAGAGAGAGAGCGTGCGAATATGCGCTGCACGCAACTCTGCAGTCAATTACAACTTTTCCCATCTTAAATAGTTAAAAACACGTAAATCAATATGTGGCGGTCAGCGCTGATAATGTGGTGGGCTGCCACTAATAAATGTATGGGAAACACTGTACCGGTTATCACTCAGATAAACATAGGCTATTTTAATACCGCCGTCTCCCTCATAGAAAACCTTGACATTTTTATTTTTAAAAATTGCGTTTGCTCCCTAGGTCAGGTTACACCCCACAGCTCAACAACCTGCTCATCACCTTAACTTTCACTGCATTTGTAGTCAATGCCATATTATCCAGTAAACACTAATAAACGAACAGAACGGAAGTTAACTTTGGGCCAGCTCATCACCATGGCAACGCGTCTGATGAAAGCGTCTATAACCAATGCAACATAGGCCCTGCTGTCTTCAAATAAATAAACTTCAGTCACACTGTAATTGCTGTACAGTATAATGACACTAACTGTAGTTTCTCCAGCTTGAACTGTGGGTTCATCAGTAGATCACTGAGGTTTTTCACTCCAGAGTCTCCTAGTTCATTCCCGCTCAGGTCCAGCTCTCTCAGGTGTGACGGGTTTGATGTCAGAGCTGAAGACACATCAGAACAACCTTCATCTGTCATATAACAGTATCTTAACCTGCATTAGCAGAGAGAGAGAATGAAGAAAATAAGACAGAAGAAAACTCTTTATTGTGTAAAGTCACATCATCTTCATCAGCAAATAAAGCAGACAGAGGAAGAGAGATCAGGGATGAACCGATACTGAGCTCATGTACTCGTACTTATAAAAATGCTCTGATACCAGCAACCGATACCAGTTAGTGTGTGTACAGTGTGTCCAGACGAAGAAACACTGAAACAGAGAGTGTAATGCGATAATAAAGAAGGCTGTCTATGAAGTAAATGTATCTAATTAGTGGAATATTAAAGGAAATATAGTAAGGCCTATATAGCTGTGGTGCGCAAGCTTATCCAGCGCACCCCTTTTCGTTGTAGTTCAGTCGGACGTCAATGGCAAAGAAAGTAAACCGAGGTATGTAGATTATTATTAACTTTCACTGATGAGAGAAAGATACTAAATCGTATATGTGAGTAAAACATGAACTGTTGCCTGGTTTATGTATAACAAGTGGTTCTCTACATTATTACAGAATGTTTGGAGGTCAATAAGTTTCATGAACACAAACATCCAAAGCGCACCCCAAAAAAAAAACAGCGACTCAGACTGCGCACAAATAATGAACTGAATTCTCTTTCACGTCTTGTGCTTGTATGGACAAATTCACACAAAATTATGTAAAAACGCCCGTCTTGGCAAGTATCCTCTAGTAAACAAAGTGGGTTATATCTCAAGTGAACGTATATTCTGATGGGAAATTATCACTGCTCTTGACTAAATAGCCTACCTTATAACTTTACAAAAAGTGTAAATTTAATTTATACAGTAATGAATATACAGTGTTATTTCACATTTGATAACTTTATATCATGCATATTTAGCTTGCTGTCCGGGGGGAGGGCTCTGAGCTCAGATTTTTGCCCAAACCCAGAGTGCTTCCCCTGTTGTTGTAACAGTATTTAGGACAAAAAGTGAGGAGATGGGGTGGTGGAGGGATGCTGTTAAACTGTCAATGAACTGAGGTAAGTTTGTTGTATATACCTCTTAACTCGTTGATTGGGTTGATTAACAGAGTGTGCTCCACTCTCCACTCTTGTCTAATTAGACTTGATTACCTGAATGTGCTCCACGTGTTTAATTAGGTTTAATTATCTGAACATGCTCCTCCAGAACTTCACTAATAAAACATTATTCAATTCAAATTTCTGTACCTGAAAACTGCACCTGAAATCTACTACTATTTCATTTGTAGCCTTGCTTTGTTATACTGCATATATTTGTGCTATTTGTAATTTGATTATTTGTTCTTATTTTATTACTGACTGCTTACTTTTTTTAAATAATGTTTTAAATTCACATGAATTAAGCTGGTAGTTTCTGTGGTAGTTAGTGTTGTCACTGTACCAACATTTCAGTATTCGGTACCAATACCAGTGAAAATCCACAGTTCCCTTTCGAGGGAACTCGCGATGCGTCAATAAACGCCCCCGACGTGTTTAAGTCGGAAGCATCTATGTTCACTAGTCCAATGGAAAGAATGAGCGTCATGGGCGGGTGACAGGAAGTTATAAAAGCGCATCCGGTGAAGCCGGACACTCTCAACTGAAGTCTTCTAAATCGAAGCCGAATCTGAGGACCGTTCATCAAGCAAAGAAGGCTTCACAGAAAAGGTCCTGACGCCAATGGAGTCAGAGTTTGTCACGATAGATCTGAAAGATGCTTGCTTCCATATCTCCATCCTCCCTCAGCACAGGAAGTTCCTGAGATTTTCTTTCGGGGGCAAAGAATACCATTAGCGAGTTCTTCCTTTTGGCCTAGCACTTTCACCCTGCACATCCACAAAGTGCGTAGATGCAGCTATAGCCCCGCTCAGACTGCAGGGCATACGCATTCTGAATTATATAGATGACTGGCTGATTCTAGCGGAGTCAGAGCAGTTAGCGGTTCGGCATCGAGATGTCGTCCTCACACATATACAAATGTTAGGGTTGAGGCTGAATGCCAAGAAGAGTGTACTTTTTTTCAGTACAGAGAACCACTTTACTTGGTGTGGTATGGGATTCAGTCACGATGCAGGCCGTTCTATCGCCCGCTCATGTAGCTGCTATCCTAGTAGCTACAAAAGAGCTGAAGCTAGGCCAGTCACGCACAGTGAAACAGTTTGAGAAACTGTTAGCCTTTGAGAAATGAGAAACTGATACCCTTTGGCCTGCTGTATATGAGACCTTTGCAGTGGTGGCTCAGGACCAGAGGGTTCTCCCCAAGGGGAAACCCACTTCGTATGATCAAGATCACGTGGCGGTGTCTCCGCGCCTTGGTTATATAGAGGAAACACTGGTTCCTGTCCAAGGGTCCAGTTTTGGGAGATATTTGCTATCGAGTTGCTATCTCGACAGATGCTTCCCTCACCGGCTGGGGAGCAGTAATGGAAGGCCGCTCGGCTCAGAGTCTGTGGAGGAGTCATCATCTCTCGTGACACATAAATTGCCTGGGGAATGATGGCTGTCAGTCTTCAATGCATTGAGACATTTCCTCCCAGATTTGAGAGGCCATAATGTGCTAGTCAGGGCAGACAACACATCGGTGGTCTCTTACCTGAACCGTCAGGTGGGTCTGCGTTCGCGTCTGCTTTGCAAACTGGTGCAAATCCTTCTGTGGTCCCTGGGGAAAATACTCTCTCTGAGGGCAGTGTATATTCCGGGGGTCCAGAATATTGGAGCAGACATCCTGTCGAGGCAGGAGCTGAGGCCAGGGGACTGGAGACTCCACCCGAGGCGGTGGAGCAGATATGGGAATTTTATGGCCAGGCAGAGGTGGATCTGTTTGCGTCTCAGACCACGACGCACTGTCCACTCTGGTTTTCTCTCACTCAGCCAGATGCTATGGTTCAGACGTGGCCGAGGCTACATTTATACGCATTTCCCCCTGTTGCTCTGCTCCCAGGAGTTCTGGAGCGAGTCAGCCAGTGCGGATTAAGACTGCTGCTAGTAGCACCACGCTGGCCGAGTCAAATTTGTTTTGCGGATCTAATTAATCTCCTCGACGGACCTCCCTTGGAGATCCCGATCAGGAGAGACCTTCTGTCTCAGGCAGGGGGCACAATATTTCACCCCAAGCCAGAGATTTGGAAACTATGGGTTTGGCCTCTGAGGGAGCCCAATTCATAGAGAGTGGTCTTTCAACAGAGGTTGTTGAGACCATTCTTAGCTCCAGAGCTCCCGCTACTAGGAAGCTTTACATTTTAAAATGGAGATTAATTACTTCTTGGTGTCATCAGCGTCAGTGGGACCCGGTTAACTGCTCAGTAAAGGTGGTACTGGAGTTCGTAAAAGAACGTTTCTCGTCAGGATTATCCCCCTCCACCTTAAAAGTTTATGTGGCGGCCATAGTGGCGTTTCACGTTCCCGTGGGAGGTTTATCTTTGGGTCGAGACCCCCTGATTATTCGTTTCCTTCGTGGCACCCTGAGTCTGAGGCCTACTATTCGCATTAGGATGGCTTGGGATTTGGCCATAGTACGAGAAGGCCTTTCTGGGGCACCTTTTGAGCCTTCAGATTCGATCTCAGAAAAATTTCTCACTGTGAAGTAGGGTTGTGCCGATAGACGATAGTATCGTGTATCGACGATAGTCTGACATATCGCCGATGGCAGATGCCTTTGACGATATCAATACGATAATTGGCTCGTTTTACCATAATGTATTAAATTATTATTATTAGGCCTATTATTATTATTATAAAGCTAGTATTGTTATTAAATGAATATTAGGAACTACAATCAATTTGCCTTGCCTAAATTTACAACGACATCACCTCATAACAATTGCAACAACACGAGCACTAATGAGGACTCCTCTAAGAGAATAAAACAGACTAAAAAACATCCCACATCAAAATTTAATTGCAAGGTGATCCATTCACAAATTATCAAGTGTGCTCGTTTTAACAGACGCAAAATTCAATTTCCTACAGATCCAAGATGAAAACGGCATAGTTGTTCGTCAGTATTTGTTTCCGTAACACATTAACAAAACGTTTAATGACACTAACAGTAAAAAAAAATACAATTACTAAATAGTATTAATAATAATATCACTAAAATAGTATTATAGTTACCGCTATCATCGTCGTCTCTGAGGGAACGCGGCGTTAATGCAGATGCCGAAAGCAGTCCGTTTTTACTTTCACTTTCAGAGATTGAGCGCGTTTACATGCGACGACTTTCTTAACCTGATTATGTTGAATAAACTTGACAATGCATGTGGTCATGTAAACGTTTTCCTTTATCTGAGTCAAGTCATAAGTATAAGTATAAACCGATCGACTCAGCTAGACGTTTAGCCCTTGCTCTTGTTTCTCCCGGCATTTAAAACACATTAACCCGCGTACGTGCTTACTGAAGTGCGCATGTGAAGTGCGCAGAGAGCGCACTGGTAGGGGGGCACATATCGCAAACTCCGACTTTTTCTGACCCAAGAAATTATTAAAACGTGTTTTCATCTCGTGCAGAAATAGGCCCTAGTCAAAATGCAGCATGTAACGGCATGAGGATAGGCTAATGTGTCTGTAAATTTCCCGTTGACAAACAAAAGGATTAGGATCTCTTTTTTTTTACCTCACTATACCAAGAAATAACCTGATCCTATTAATAAACACTCCACCTTTGCTAGCAAAATAGAAAAAAGATTCTCGTATATAAAACGAAGTAGGCTAATAAAACAAGCAAATTAATGAGTAGGCTAAATAATCAAGTTAATAATCAAATGTTAGCCCCGCCCCCTCACGATACTATCGTGTATCGCCGATCTCACAGGCTGACGATAGGACGATATGAAAATGGAGCATATCGCCCAACACTACTGTGAAGAATATTTTTCTCGTAGCCATTTCTTCTTTAAAAAGATTCAGAGATCTTCAGGCCCTTTCGGTGTCTCCACAAAGACTTTCTAACCTTGTTCAACACACGTGCAACAAACGCCACGTGACGCGCTCCCACACAAAGGACATCCACTCGCACGCGTCCAAACAGGGCCGTTCAAGAAATGCACGTATACCTCTTTATCGAGCTTTAAGAAGCATTAAGATGATGTTTTTTCGTGTTGATTCAGAAGGGTTACGCTGTCTAGGTGATTTTGCCAATACTCTCTCTCTCTCTCCCTCTCGCTCTCACACTCTTACTCGTATTTCCATTTCCAGACTCCCCTCGTTGTTGTTTGTATTTATTGTTTGTAAATACATTTATTCCTGTAACATTAGTAAATGCATAAGTAGTTCTGCATTATTAAATTAATTATATTCATTTTCATTGTTTACTGACTCTTTTGCTCATACTTCAAGTCCCTTAACTGCCTAGATATTAGCTGCAAGCTTACAAATTAAAATATACTTCAAAGAGTATTTGTTTATAGAACAGGAAAGGCAACCTGGTGGCCACAGGTTGGTTTTTCCAGAAAATCTATAAAGTAGGGTGATATTGTGAGTTTTAATGGAGATTGAATGATCAAGCTTGCGGTATGATTAGTTAGTTTCTCGTATGATTATTAGGCCTACTGGTATAAAATCAATTGCACTGTCTGCCTGAAAAAGACTTGTTCTCTTCACATGTGATAATTAATGGGAGTCTTCAAAACAGGCTCGTCCTAGTCGTCACCCTGACATGACAGTTGTCACCCAGACATGACAGTTAATTTTATTTTATTCTAGTTTTCTTTCTTTCTTTTTGCCAAAAAACGAAAGTGCAATAGGCATTAATTAGTAGTAGAATAAATAGCAGCATGGAAATTAAACCGTTACTAACTAGATAAAAACAACAACAACACATAAACATGTGAGCAATAGGGAAACCCTATAGGGAATAAGCCCTGCTGTCTTCAAATAAATAAACTTCAGTCACACTGTAATTACTGTACAGTATAATGATACTAACCGTAGTTTCTCCAGCTTGAATTGTGGGTTCATCAGTAGATCACTGAGGTTTTTCACTCCAGAGTCTCCTAGATTATTCTCGCTCAGGTCCAGCTCTCTCAGGTGTGACGGGTTTGATTTTAGAGCTGAAGACACATCAGAACAACCTTCATCTGTCATATCAGAGGATCTTAACCTACATTAGCAGAGAGAGTAAGAATGAAGAAAATAAGAGACTCTTTATACTATAAAGTCACATCATCTTCATCAGCAAATAAAACAGACAGAGGAAGAGAGATCTTCATCTTTATTTCACCAGATCACAAAATACTAAGGTGAAAATGTTTGTACAAATATAACGTTAATGTGTTCTAGTTTAAACAGTTGAAATGATTTTATGCATTTTGATTCTTGTATGTGAATGTGACTGACCTCAATCTCTCCAGTTTCACAGGTGAATCCTTCAGTACGGCACATAAATGCTTCACTCCTGTGTTTCCTAGATTATTCCAGCTCAGGTCCAGCTCTCTCAGGTGTGACGGGTTTGATTTCAGAGATGAAGTCAGGATGAGACTCTGTTCCTCTGTAATACTGCATCCACACAGACTGAAGACAGAGAAATAACAATAGTTCACATCTATGATGATCATCTTATTGAAGAGAGCAGCATTTAGTTTCAAAACTACATTATTTAAACTAAAAAATGCTTCATGAAGAAGAAAAAAAATACACATGTCGCACTGGACTAAGTCGCATTTATTTAGAAATGTTTTCTCTTGGTTCATGTCAGTCAGTATGATAAATGATTGTTCAATTATATAAGTTTTTCGTGATTTCAAATTAGACATGCTTTTTGATTACTAACATTTAATTTAACCATTAAAATGGGAGTCCAAAAAAATTTAAATGAAAAAAAAAAAAAAAACAGAATATAGAAAAATGAAAACAGAAAAATAAAAAACCTGAATAAAAATAAAGCTGATTTCATGGGGTCTACAAGTGGCTCTTTGGTGCTTTCCCAGCACCTTCTGCTCCTGACGGTGACATAACGTACCAATCTCAATCCTTGGGCTGACACGGGAGACATTTACTCGATGGAAAGATTCACACACTCTCCACACCTGCTTTTGTTATAGCGTTATATAGTTATATGGTTTAAAATAGTTATGTTTAATTTTTTTTGCCAAATCGGTTTGGAACAGTTGTTGAATAAACAACTGAACTGACACATTATGCCTGCGTATCTGTTTGACTGACAGTTTTATTGATCACTGAGATGTTAGCCGGTGCTGTGTGTGGCGATGCTGCTGAATCTGCTGATAGACAGATCCAGAATCAGTTATTCACTCGTGCAGCGGCTGCTTCTCTGCATTATGCGAGAAAGAGCTATTCTTTATAAAAGAAGCACTTTAGAAATAGTGGAGTTAATTAGGACTTATGGGATATTATAAAAAATAATCCAAACTATAATAGACTATAATAGCCTAGCCTACATATTTTAAAATTGTATCATACATCATATCATATCATCATTTCAGATGTTTACATGCCATCTTCTCTTTCCCATCTTTGTTCGCTGAGGTGGAGCTGCGGTGAAATATTGTTCTTTTAAATACTTTCCAGCATTCAGTAATAAAAGTGTACGTACGGTGCTCGGCAGTGATCAAAAAAACATTTAAACAGTGAATTTTGAATCTCTTCTAATAAACTTAGAGATGTGGATTCGGACGGCAATACAATCACTGACTAATATATAAAAATATTACTACTAGATCTTTTCTATAAGTTCTTCCGCATCTCTCCCTCGTTCTTATGAGTGTCTTATATAGGGTTATATTTTTAAAATGCATCAAGGTGCATTAATTTAATTAGATTAATTTAGGAAATAAACAAGTTGCTGAAACTGATATTTGATGCTCATACATATTGCTCATTTGTCTCTGGACACTGAAGGATTGCACTGGCATTTGATAGAAATGTAACATCTATGCAAAATAATCATTGAATCATTTCTCATTCCTGTTTGGAATAAGTGGTTGTGTTTTGTGAACAATAAGCATAACATTTCTGCATTTCCATTTGTAGTGTGGATCATTCATTGCAACATTTAACCTGATTCTCATGTTTAAGAATGGGTTTTCTTATTCCTTTTCCTTTTCATCTTATTACAGGCAGATACTGATCACAGTCTTTTAAAATGCACTTGTTCAGTTGTTACAAGCTGTTGTTATATATGTTATATGCTATACATATGTATAGTTGTTATATGCTGCATCAAAATTAGACATTTTACTTTTTGTGAAATACAAACGTTGATTTGAAAGCAGTTATGAACAGTTTTGTTCTGCCTCTACAGAAACTGAAATAATTATTGACAAATGATCAATATGTCTGTCTTTGTCAAATATTTTAATTTCATTTCAAGTATAATGAATTTGATATTCAAGTTAATTATGTTTTTAATTGGCTGTTTAATTTTTTTTTACTTCAGTTTTGTGGCTCTGTGTGACGCTGAGGAAAAACTGCTCTGACTCAAACAAGTGAGGAAATATTATCATCAGCCAACATTAGTAATAAAGTAAAGTAATATTATAAATAAATGAGCAATACTCACGTCAGTTTGTTGAGTTGACAGTGTTTATCCTGCAGTAGAGCAGCGATCTGATTCACTCGTGTGTCTCTTAGGTTTACACCCACAACTCTATTCACATACTGACAGGCTTTCTCTGCAGCAGGACTCAAAAATCTGCAGAACAGTCAATTCAGTTTCATTTAATTATTGTTCTAAAGACAAGCTTTAGTTAGTTATTTAGATGCACATTTTATTTTCTTTGAACATTTAAATACACCAATAAATAGAAATGTTAAATAAACTAGAGCCACACTCAGTCCTAAAGCAAACTCATAAGAAAAGATAAATCTCACGAGCAGAGGGGCAAAATCTCACTAGATCATGATTTTCAGAATGAATACAGAGTGTGAAATTAAGATCTTTCTGGCTTTTAAGCAGGAGAAGTGAGAAATGTCACCACAGAGAAAACTGGCTTGAGAAACATTTTGGTTACATATGGTAACTCTCATTCCCTGAGGGAGGGAACGGAGACATAGGTCATGACTGACCAACCTACTTCGAGTGAAACTAAAACAAACCAATGCACATTGGCGTGCAATCATTTGCATCAGCTGTGCAGCCTTGCAGCGTGGGTATTTAACTAGCAGCTGTTGCACACTAGGGCCGTTTCTCAATATGCCTTCTTGTCTGTACTTGTGTTCTTGTGGACTTGTAAAACGTCATCAGTCGCGGCCCAAGTACTGTCCCAATACAAAAGTTTGCATTCAGGAAAGAACGGTTAAAAATCCTGGATGTGTTCTTGACACTCTGCTCTCCGGGTCCTCTTCGGACCCAGAGATGGTAGAAACTGCTCTTTTACTGAAAATTTGGGTACCGCTGGTTGCAAGGCCAGCAGTGGAACACAAACGAAATGAAACAAAGGATTTTCCACCTGGTCCTCTTCCGGGGGAGAGAGCGATGCGGTCATCGTCTCCTGAAGAGCAGTCTCTTCCATCTCTGGGTCAACCGTCCTAGGGCTGCTTACTTCTGGCTTTGCCGCCCTTCTTGGCGGGGGCCTGGACGGGCGGGACGCCCTGCTTGGCGCAACTTACGTGGAGGCTGCGGCGCAGGAGCAGGGGCACACGCAGGAGGACACCCTCGGCGACGAGCACACTGAGGTGCCGCAGGCATTGGGGTGAAGACAGCAGCTGGCCGCCGCGGCAGGATATGTTTGATGGCCGCCGTCTGCTGTTGTACAGCCGAGAACTGCTGGGCGAAGTTCTCGACTGCGTCGCCAAAGAGGCCGGTCTGGGACACCGAGTAGTTGAGAAACCGGAGTCAGACACAGGCTCCGACACAGCCAGAGATGGCGTTCCTGGACCACCAGCGTGGACATCGCATGACCCACCAACAGCGCGGTCACCTTTGTTGCACGAAGCGCGAGGTCTGTCGCGATACAAAGTTCCTGAAGAACTTGAGGATCTTCACCACCCTCGTACAGGTCCTTCAGTGCCTTGGCCTGATGGACCTGCAGCAACGCCATGGCGTGCATGGCAGAGGCAGCTTCCCCTCAGGCCTTGTAAGCCTTGTCGGTTAAATCCGACGAGTACTTACATGCCCGGGAATGGAGACACGGTTCTCCCCGACAAGTGGAGTTAGGGCACAGTTGCATAGCAGCAACCCGTTCCACTGGCGGGATGCACGTGTATCGCTTAGCCGCCCCGCCATCAAGGGTGGTGAGGGAGGTGCCGGGTGCCGGGTAAAAGGTGCCGTCCACGTCCCCATAAACTCGTCGTACACTTCCGGGAAGAAAGCGGCAAGGTTTTTTTTAACTTGTTTTTCAAGTAAAACACAAGAGGATAAAACACCACCCCCCGCAGAAGAAGATCAATGCCTGCTTCAACACGGCCGGTGAGGATTGTTTTGTAAACAAGACTGGATTTGCAGACCAATTAAGAATATCGGTGCTGTGCCGTCTATATTGGATCTGACAGGAATTGTGCAACACACGGACTCTGGGTCGAATAATTCCAGTTGCCATTTTACAACATTGGACGTTTTCAAAACAATTTCCCCCAAGTGCATCGATGGGTGAGTTGAAACTCATTATAATATGCAAAACTGTTATCCACTCACAGAAGTGGGCGTTTACTTCCAAGTCTTCCAATGCAAGACGCCCATAAAAACCTAGCGTTTTTCAGGTAGGCTCAAAACTTTGGTACAAAATAGCCTACTACTTATTCATTTTGATGTTTTTGAATGCAAAAACCAAGTGAACATCATAAGTTGACCTCAGACAACAATATAATAAAATTGAAAAAGCCAGTTCATGACCCCTTTAACATGAAGCATTTGGCTTCGAAGCAAAAAGTTAGTGTGCAATCGCAATAGCTGCTCGTTAAATAAACGCGCTGCACAGCTGATGCAAATGATTGCATGCCAATGTGCATTGGCTTGTTTTAGTTTCACTCAAAGTAGATTGGCCTCTCTAGCGAGATTCCTATTGGTCAGACCTACTTTGTAGTGACTGACCAATAGGGAACTGCATGTTTGTGAACATCTGGAGACTCATAGACCTGATACAGAGAGATGCAGGGAATCTGGGCTTGATAGAAAACTATTGTGTTCAGGAAACTATTTCACTAAAAGGTTATCTAGAATTTTTTATGGGAAGTGTGCACAAAAACAAAATTGTGCATGTTAATTGTCAAGGTATATTGTAGAATAGCAGCACAAAAAAAATCTGATATTTTACTCACATCTGACACAGATCGGAATTTGTTGCACACGTGTAAACATAAAAAGCCACACGAGATCAGATTTTTTCGTATCCAACCTGAGCCACTTCCCTATGTGGATTTAAATCAGATACATATCCAATGTCTGGACATCCGACCTCGGTCTACACACGCATATCCGATTCTCCTTTGAATTCCAAGCCACCACTAGGCGAGGACGACACGTTTATTCACAAAGATAGCTTTTTAAAGTTTAATTATGAGTCGACGTGCCTGCATGCACTCGCTCACAGCTTTTTATAGTGGTGGGAACGATATTTATCTTTGTAAAGAAATAGCACAAACACAGAAATATTCAGGAGTTTAGCCTCTGTTTAGCCTCTCTCTCTCTCTCTAGTTAATTCATTTAAATTTATTAAGAAAAAAAATATTACAGGGCTTTATTTAACTCAAGAATTCTAGATCTGAGAAGTAGATAAACGAAAATAATATCCCGACTATAAATCTATTATAAATCTAAATCTATACGGGCCAGAAAAATCGTATATGGTCAAAAGAACGAATCTGTGTATTAAGACTTGCGACCGGTAGCTCGTATCACAATTAAATGTGTTGACGTATTTCATCATTATGACAGAATCTGCAGCATCTGGTCTGATCTTGATCATTTCGATGCAACAAATTGTCCAGTTTACTGTATAATTAAAATAAGGTATTTGTTATGAATATTTAACCTGCATATAGCTAATTTTGTTAATTATTTGATCCCGTCTCACCTCAGCGTCTTCAGTTGACAGTCTGGATCCTGCAGTAAATCATTGAGCTGCTTCACTCCTGATTCTCCAGGATCATTTCCTATGAGATCCAGCTCTATCAGGTGTGAAGGGTTTGATCTCACAGCTGAAGCCAGAGCTTTATAACCTTCTTCTGTCACACTGCAGTTAGAGAGTCTAGAACAGAGAGGAAAACATTCAGCTGATTAGTCAGTTAAACCTGAACAACATAAATCCTTAAACTTGAATTTTATTTTGTTCTTTGTACAAATGCATTGGAAGTTAGTTGCAAAAACTGACAACTGAATATGGAGGAAAACAAAAGACAAAAAAACTTTAATATGTTAGACATCAAACAAATAAAAGGTCTTTGAATTTTAAAACAAATGCTGAGTTTGTGGTTCATTATTATTTTGAATGAAAAACACAACAACAATAGAACAAAGACTCGGTCACTAATATTAAACAAAGAAGTGCAACTTTTATTCACAAAAGTTCTCTTGTGCTTTTGCTTCCAGGATCATCTCATCAGTCATCACACCTCACTCTAGTCACGTGACTCCTGTGGCTCAACTTACCTCAGTATCTCCAATTTACACTTTATATTCTTCAGTCCAGAGCAGAGCAGCTTCACTCCTGAATCCTGCAGATTATTATTGTTCATGTTCAGCTCTTTCAGATTGGTGTCTGATCCAAGAACTGCAGCCAGAGCTGAACAGCTTTTGTCTGATAAGTTACAATCATTTAACCTACAAGGGAAATTAATCACATCGCATAATTAGATGGGCCACATACATTTTTCTATATACAAATATTAAATGTGTGTTCCATATTATATATTTTTAAATAAACAGCATAGTAAAGAGGCTGAGTTAAACTAACATTACTCATTAAAAACTATTTCCTATTAGTGTATTTTTTTACAGATACAATAAAGCATGTTTGAAAAAAAATGTTTTAAGATTTATAGCTTTTATAGCTATAGGATTTTTTCTCTATGTCTGTCACCTGATGGAGTTTGGGTTCTTGCCACTGTTGCTTCTGGCTTGCTTAGTTGGGGACACTTCATTTTCAACAATATTATTGACTTGACTGCACAGACACTATAAGATGAAACATTTTACACTTTTGTGGCAAGTTAAAGGCATTTCACTATAATTCAAAAAATGCCTCCATTCACATATACGCATCTATTTGATATGAAATCTTTAATGATTTAATTAAAGCCTAGATTACTTAAACCCAAGAACCTAAGAAATGTTATTTGTTTTTAAGTTTAAGGTCCAGTGATATATCATTAATTTGAAAATAGTAAAGAACCATCCATGACAATTGCTGAAAAAAAATTTATCGTCATTTTACTTAAAGGGATACTCAATCGCTCTGGCACGCGAGACACTTTGATCACACTTAACTAGCCCAGTTCATTCAATATGGGCCAAGCAGAGAAGCGACCAAACACCTCCATGGTTTCCTTACTTAAATACAGTTACACGAGCAGTGTAACTCGACCTAGGACGGTGACACAAAATAAAACGTTGCACTTTTCTAAGCGTGTAAAATAGAAAACTATATTGTAATGCAGAATACCAAAGCAAGTGCTTGGGAGCACTTCGACTGGCCCTCGCCAGTATCATGCGCATACCAGAAAACAGTTCTCTTACATGCTTGAGCGAACATTAACACACACAATTATGCCAAACTCTCTGTTTTTTGAGTAACCTCATAACACAAGAGCAGTCTTAAATTAGTTACTAAAGTCTTAAATGAACGTAAAGAGTTGTGAAAGAATGAGGCGCATGTGAGATCCGCGTCTCTGTCAGCAGCGGCTGATTTTAAAGGGACAGCAGCTAATAAAGCTTTCTGTCTGTAAAGTTAATCAAAGAACAAAGGGAAGAGAGAAAATTACTCCCTGCTCTTGACTAAAGAACTTTGTAGCTTTAATAATGATTAATCGATATTTAATCTAATTCAGTGCAGACTACTTGATAAGTTTATTACATTTCTGTATAGTGTTCTGTATATGTTAGACGGGAAGGGAGGCAACAGGTAAATATGACATTATTATGGGTTCATGTGAGGATTGTTTGAAGTTCACTTAAATTAAAAATTGTTCTATTTTTAAGACTAATACATGTAAAAAACAAACAAACATATATCTGTCAATTTCACATTATAATTAATGTTCAAAGTTTATATTTTGTCTAAAATTTTGATAAACTTTCTCCATTAAAAATAGTATATTTTCAAAACTATTATTTTATATGTCAGGCTTTAGAGGGATGGTTCATTTTTATGAATTTTCATTTTTTCAGATGAGAGTAAAACATGACAAAATACATTAAAAGACTCACAGAGCTCTTTTGGAGGCTTTAATGACTGCCAATAATCTAATGAGACACTCGTCTGATTTCTTGAATTTCTGAAGCTCAAACTCCTCCAGCTCTTCCTCTGATGTCAACAACACAATGGCTAAAGCAGACCACTGGGCAGGTGAAAGGTCACCAGATGAGAGACTTCCTTTGCTAAGGTGGGTCTGAATCTCGTTCACCAGAGTTTGGTCGTTCAGTTCATTCAGACAGTAGAACAGATTGATGGATCTCTCTGCAGGAAGATTAGCTTCTAATTTCTTTTTAATGTACTGAATTATCCTCTTGTTGCTCCGGTCAGTGCCGTCTGGCTGTGTCAACAGACCTCGTAAGAGTCGTCGATTGGACTGGAGTGACAGACCGAGGAGGAAGCGAAGGAAAAGGTCCAGGTGTCCATTGTCACTCTCCAGCGCCTTGTCCACTGCAGTCTTGAGAAAATCAATCATGGTATTATTTCTGTTTTCCTGTTCTGTAGACTCATGATCAAACACACTTGTCTTGTTGATGTCTAGAAACAGATGTGCATAAAGGGCTGCAATAAACTCTTGAATGCTCAAGTGAACAAAGCAGTACATGGTACCAAGAACGATCCCTGTTTCCTCCTTAAAGATCTGGGTACACATGCCTGAGTACACTGATGCCTTATAGACGTCAAGACCACAGGCTTCCAGGTCTGTGTCATAGAAGATCAGGTTGTTTCTTTCCAGCTGATGAAATGCCAGTTTCCCCAGTGAAAGGATGGTGTCTTTATCCCAGGAAACATCTGGTGTGTATTCTCCATCATATTTTCGGCGGCTCTGCTGGATCTGAAAGCGGAGAAAGTGTGTGTACATTTGTGTCAGAGTCTTGGGAGTGTCTTCAGTGTTTGATTCCTGCAGTGTTTTAGAGATCTCATCAGCCTGAGTGTTTCTCACATCATTATTTCTCTTCTCCTCCAGAATGTTCTGGAGAACAGTGGCTGAAATCCAGCAGAAGACTGGGATGTGGCACATGATAAAGAGACTCTTTGATTGTTTAACATGATCTATGATTGTGTTGGCTTGAATATCATCCTTGAATCTTTTTTTGAAGTACTCTTGCTTTTGTGCGTCGCTGAATCCTCGTATCTCTGTCAGCCGGTCGATACAGTCAGGAGGAATCTTACTGGCAGCTGCTGGTCTGCTGGTGATCCAGACGAGAGCAGAAGGGAGCAGATTTCCTTTCATGAGGTTCGTTAGGAGAACATCCAGAGAGGCTGGTGACGATACATCACGCCACGTCTCATTACAATCAAACTTCAGAGGAAGGCGACATTCGTCCAGTCCATCAAGGATGAACAGCACTTTGAACTGATTCCTTCTTGTAAGGTTCAGTCCTTTTGTCTCTGGGAAAAACTGAGTTATAAGGTCCATCAAACTTAGTTTTTCTTTCTCCTTTAAGTTGATCTCTCTGAATGGAAGAGGAAATATGAAGCTGATATCTTGATTTTCTTTTCCTTCAGCCCAGTCCAGAACAAACTTTTGCACAGAGACTGATTTCCCGATGCCAGCGACTCCTTTTGTCAGTACAGTTCGGATCTCCTCGTCTTGTTCAGGCGCTTCAAACAAATGTGTGCATTCAACCTGTATCTCTTGTGCTTCATGACATCTGGAAGCAACTTCAATCTGTCTCACCTCATGTTCAGTATTGACCTGTTCACTGCCACCCTGAGTGATGTAGAGATCTGTGTAGATGTTATTCAGGAGTGTGGAGTCACCTTGCTTCGCCATTCCTTCAAACACACATTGATACTTCTTCTTTAGGCCACATTTCAGCTGATGAATGAAGAACAGCTCATCTAAACACAGGAACAGAAAAAAGATAGTTTTAGTCTTCACTTTCTCTCCTACATTTATAAGAGACAATCAGACAGATGATCACGAGTCTCTTGCCTTCTAGAGCATCAGCAGCTTCATCTTGCTTCATCTCTCTCAGGTAATGTAGTGTGAGATCAAGAGCTGCTGATTTGATACTGGATCTGTTCTCATTAAAGTCCTTCACAAAGTGTTGTGGGTTCTCATGTTGTAATATTTTCTTTAACTTCTCCAGCTCATTCTTCAGAAATGTGATTATTTTGCTCTCAAGATCCTACAAACAAAAGTAAAAAGTCAGAAAAACACAAAGTTCAAATTTTAAGAAAAACAAATATATGATCTGAAATATAGCACATTCATTTTAAATTCATTCAGGTTCAATTACCAAAAACACGATCTTAATTTAATTTAAAGCAAATAATGAATCTAAAATATATGGGTTGTATTGCATATTTTGTTAAAAATAAGAAGATATATATCCAGAAAGACAAGGCCTTAAACTTTAACAAGGGTGCAACTCTTATCACTGCAACAAACGTAGTCACACACACAAGACACGTCACTTACATTTTAGATGCAATATTGACTTTTTTCTGTTTCAGCAGAGAAAATAGTTAGACAAAGATCACAGCGAACCATCGTGCATCTCAAAGCAATGCGTTTTCTCATTACTGAATGATTCAGCATTTTGAACGAATGAATCCATGACTCGTTCATAAAGACAGTCACCTGGCGACACCTTATGGCGATTTAGGGTTATGTTTAAAAGTATCGTTCTTTACAACGGTAGCATGAAAATAGAGACTAGTAGGTTAAAATGATTAAAATGTTAAAACGGCTTGCTAAACTCTATAGTTTCGACTAGTCACAACTATGTTACAGATATCTTAACTGATAATATAAACTAACCAAAATGTAATTACGACTAGTCAGAAAGACGTTGTTAATATTTACAATGTTAATTCCAGATAGTCAAACTTAGCTTTTAAATGTTAAAAGGGCTTGCCATACAGAGACGTAGGCTCAGAGAGAGGCTCACCATATTCAAACCAAAAAATCTGACTTTCTGTTGGTCGGAGCTAATAATTGTAAATAAGAAAGTTGTCTGGCTCGAGGAGAACAATATACATACCGATTTTTGTAACTGTAGATAAAATTAATCCCCCCACTCTTGACAAAAGGTGGCGCTACTGAGCCCTCACCACGCCCGTTTCTGAAACTTTGCACATGTCTACTGGCTAAGAAATGTAATGTGTCTGTCGAGTTTTATGCAATTTCAAGCATTCTAAAAGACTCAAAAGCATCAAACAAGAATATTAAAGTCCCCGTTAAATCAAAATTGAACCTATTTACTTTGTTAGCGCATATTACTAGTCTTGTGGTGAACAATTAATCCGTGCAAGTAAATATATATTAAAAAAATGTTTTACCTTGGTAATCTTTAATCAAAATCTGAAAAGTTACTTCCGGTCTGGAATGGTTTCTTTTTCTGATGACGTAGGTTTCACAGCTTCGGTGGGGAAACGCTTAACCACTTAACCACCAATTGAAGTGCAATAAAGCCACAGGGTTGGATAATATGCCGGCTAAATTTATTAAAGACGCTGCTAATTTTATAACCCCTATGGTTACTCACATTTTAAATCTTTCTATTTGCCAGAACAAGGTACCAGCTGAATTTAAACAAGCTAAAATTTTTCCCCTTTTTAAAAAAGGGAGTAGGCTTGATTGTAATAATCATAGGCCTGTGTCAATCCTGTCTTCTTTATCTAAAATTTTAGAAAAATATTATTTGACCAAATTGAAGAATATATTTCCAATTTCAATATTTTATATGAATTTCAGTCTGGTTTTAGAAAGTTACATTCCATAGAGACAACTATTCTATATTTGACGGATTATATAAAGAAAGGAATAGATAAAGGTAAATTAAGTGGGATGTTATTGCTCGATTTAAGAAAAGCCTTCGACACAGTCGACCATAATATTCTGTTGTTAAAATTAAATGCTATGGGTTTTGATTCTAAATCATGTAAATGGATCAAATCCTATCTTACGAATAGGTGTCAAATGGTCGATATGAATGGAGTGTGCTCAGAATTTTTGCCGATCTCTTGTGGAGTACCACAAGGTAGTGTATTAGGGCCCTTACTTTTTTTAATTTATATAAATGATTTGAAGATGGCCTGTTCTAGTCATTTATCATTATATGCTGATGATGCCGTAATAATAGTTACTGATGAAAATAAAGAAACAATAGAAAACAAGTTAAAATGAGAAATTGTAGAAGTGTCTAATTGGTGTTTTCAAAATAAGCTATTTTTACACTTACGGAAAACTGAGGCTATTCTATTCGGTTCTGCTGCAAAATTGAGGAAATGTCCCAATTCAGAAATAAGAGTGGGAGATGAGCATTTTTCTTTTAAACAAGAAGTGAAATTTTTGGGATGTATTCTTGATAACAAAATGACTGGGGATAGTATGGCAGCTGCTGCTTAATCGAAAATTTTTAGCTCGACAGGCTGCTTATCTAGACAAACAAACAATGACAAAGTTAACTGGTGCATTAGTGCAACCACATTTCGACTATGCAGCAAATTTTTGGTATACTGGCTCTAAAAAACATGTCAAAAATAAATTACAGACTGCCCAGAACAGGTTGTGCAGAATTATTTTGGGGTTACATCCTCGTATGCATCTAAATAACCATTTTGAGGAATTGGGAATTTTAAAAGTGGATAAAAGAGTAATTTTTATTAAAATTAAGATGGTGCATAAAATAATTCAGAGGTCTGTTCCTAAATACTTGCATGACTACTATGTTTTTGTGAGAGATGTTCATTGTATTTCTACAAGGGCAAGGATAAATAATATATATTTGTACCGTTTTAAAAGTGTAGTTGGGAAGAATTCATTTTTGTACTCGAGTGCAGTTGCTTGGAATGGATTGCCAGATAATTTAAAGCAATTACAAGAGGCACGGCCCTTTAGAAAAGAAGTAAAAAAGTGGCTTTCCAATTGAGATCCCATAGGAATTTGTAGGGTGTGAGTTGCTTGTTTTGATTTTATTCCCACTGAAACTGTTTGTTTCATTTTATGCATGTAGAGGACCACAATGGAAATAAGCCTGTGGCTTTATTGTGTATTTTATCCTCAACAATTGTATTTAAATGTATATGAATTGCCTCTGGCATGTTTGTATATGTTGTTTATAAACACTCCCCTCAAACCGTTTGCTATGAGCGAGAGATGGAGAGGAGGAGCGCAAGAGTAAAACCCTGCCCTCTGTTCAATATTCCGTTTCACTTGGAAATACGTCACAGCACTGGAGAAAAATCGTCTGCAACTTCCGGTTCACTGGGACTTTGAAGTTTGATGCGTTGCCACGGCAACAGTATCTAAGGTATCAATAATCTTTTCACAGGTCTATATCTGCCGTGTGTTTACATTATACACATAAAGTGTGAAGCAAATCGGGTAAAAATAAGAGGGTTATTTCAAAGCATTTTAAAAGTGACACACTTCCTGCTGACAGTTGGTGATGCTATAACTTTAACTCACAATAGTCACATCCATGTGACCCGCCTCTTACAACGAACGCACTGCTGAAGTTTCACCAAGATCAGTTAATGTATAAAGAAGTTATAACACACTTCTTGTTTCACTTTTCGCGCCATAATTTCATTTCCTCGCCATGGCCAAACCGTTCGAGATATCAAAAATCCCCTCGCAAACTTTCATCCTCAATGTCTTGACTTCATGCTGACCGAGTTTCGTGCCGTGTGTTTGAATTCGCTAGGAGGAGTATTTCAAATTCCATTGCATGTGTTATCCAAACAACCCTAAATAGCCGACTTCCTGTTGGGCTGGGGTAAAAAGTATGAGTGTGAAGTATATATGAACCGATGAGATCTATACGTGAACTGAGTTTCATATTAGTCAATGTCCATATTTGCCAGTTCCGCTGCAAATGCTGTCACAGTTGCAAAATATGACCAAACAGGTTTCAAAATATGACCAAAACAGAATATAAAGATATAAACGAACCACCTGAAGAGAATAATTTCAACTTTTCTGTACTTATAAACACTCCAAATGTACAACAAAATGCATTTAAGGGCTAAAAAGTGGATTTTGCATGATATGTCCCCTTTAAAGGGGTCATGAACTGGCTTTTTAAATTTTATTATATTGTTGTCTGAGGTCAACTTATGACGTTCGCTTGGTTTTTACACTAAAAAACATCAAAATGAATAAGTAATAGGCTATTTTCTACCCTAGTTTTGAGCCTAGCTCAAAAACGCTTGGTTTTTATGGGCGTCTCGCACTGAAGACTTGGAAGTAAACGCCCACTGCTGTGAGTGGATAACAGTTTTGCATATTATAATGAGTTTCACTCTCGATCCGGCTTGTCATCACGAGGTAGGCTGGCCTATGTTATTTAGCTATGTGTGTAATGCGCGAATCGGTGGGCGGGGCTAAACTGGCCGTGTTGAAGTAGGCGTTGATCTCCGGGGGTGGTGTTTTATCCTCTTTGTCGTCATAGTTCCCCACTTTGAAAAACGAGTCGTTTGCTGGGGCTGGTGTCAAAAAAAGCTTTTATTGGACTAACAAGGATGTTTTCAGTTCTGAAACTTACAGGATATTCTTATAATATGATGACCTCTTATAGATGTCAAAAGCTTAAGGAAAATTTGATTTCTCAGTTCATCACCCATTTAAGGCAAATTGGACATCTACATTTGGTCAAAACTACACATTAAATAATTATAATACATCCAGTTAAAAGACTAACATGCTAACAAAGTTGTGCTAAAATGTGTTTAAAAGGAAAGAAAGAAGATAAAGAAAAATGTAATTAAATTTCTTTTTTTAATAAAATTTGTTTGTTATAAATATTAAATATTCATTAAAATGTGTTTTCCTACCTGGAAGATCCCAAGAAGATTGTCTTTGAAATTCTCGTGGTTCCTGTGAGTCTGAAGATCTGAGTCTAATGTCTCATATTGAAGCCTGTAATCATATTAGTAAAATAAAATACTAACCGATATTTTACAGAAAGAGAAATAAGCATTAGCTGTGAATACTCTAGCAAATATTTTATCTAAAAACATGTGACACATGTGACCCTGATCTTAAACTGATGACACAAAGAACAGAGAGAGAGAGAGAGAGAGAGAGAGAGAGAGAGAGAGAGAGAGAGAGAGAGAGAGAGAGAGAGAGAGAGAGAGAACATTTTAGTAAATGAGGATCAACTGTGTCTGAAACACATCTGTGTCTTTATCTAATCCTCCACAGAAACACACACACTCACACAATTTACAGTTTTATAGTTAACCATCATTTTATTTTACTGGCTTATGTTAATTTAACAATTTCTTTAAAATACATTAGTGAGATTAAACATGTAAAAATTACTTAACTCTAATTTAAGAGAACATTTCAAGTTTTTATTTATTGACAGAATGGAGAGCAGAAATGTCTGTGCGACACAGTTTTGTTAGCATACTTGAATTAAATTAAGTGTATAGTTGCTTTCTAATGTCTATAAATAATTTTATGATCTAAAAGGTCATTAATTTGGATTAATTCAGCATCTAAAAGGTTATTATTAACAAATTATTAACTGTGATATTTTCTATAGAGCAAACTAAACCCAACCCTAACTCTAACACATCTTAACTAAATATAAAAATATGCAGAATACACACTTTCTCCATATAAAAAGCTCATAATGCAAAATAACAAGCCCATTTGTGGATATTAAGAATATTCTTCAAGCACACACTTAACATTTGAAGTTTAAAAAGTTTTAATTTCTGTAACAACTTGTGAAACTGAAAATATTACTGGTAAATACAATTATAAAATAGTTGTATTTATCATATATTTATGTTGTATTAATTTTTTTTGCCGGTACGGTGAATTGTTAAAATTAGAACAAAAATCCTAATAATAAAACTAAATCATAATCATTATAGATGTTAATATTGGGAACCCACAAGAATTAATAAAACAAAAACGTAAAAATATTTTGACGACTCAAATAGAAAATATCTTATGACCTATTAGCCACTTACTGCATTAAGAGCAAATGCTGCAACGGAGCAAAGTCCAGAGTTAGTTAATAACTAGAGAGTAGTTCCTACGCCTCTAGTGTGGACTTTTTGTTCAATTTAAGAAAGAACTTGTTTGTCACGGTTCATGAATTCACTGACTCTTTTTCGCCCTGTGCTGTTGTGTGTGATTAAAATACTGTCTGAACAGGGTATTCACGTGAAACAACACTATATGCTAATTAAATAGGTAATATAATCTACATAATACGATACACAAACGTTGTCTGGATTGGCTCCAGAAGATCACTTCTGAAGATGACGCAGTAGTTATAGGCTAATAAAATGAACCATGAAGAGATGTTAGGATCATATAAGCATAAGATATAACAAACACACTTACTTCTCTTTTACACACACATAGGAAACTCTATAGCGAGCAGTTGACTGTTAATTATTAACTTTTTAAATGTATTATTTGAAAAATCTAGTGTTTGACCATGTCTAAATATGTATTCAAATGCAAAATCTAAAAATAAGTAAGCAGTTATGACCTGTAATAGTCTTTTGAGTAACTAGAGACTAGTAGAGACATAAATTGTTTATTTATTAAAAAGCCATACAGACACCTAGTGTGTAAACCATGGCATTACAAGTCTAAATTATTCTTTTTCTGGCCACAAAATTACTCAAATTTGTCTCATTTAAAACCCTTTTCTCCATTTTAACCTTGAATACTTCACTAATTGTAATATAAATAAAAAAAAATGATTTTAAGTTGTTTCTCAGCTGTTTATTTTGTCATCACAAGTCATCGCATCAAAGTTTGTCTTTGCCACACAAAAACAACAGACTAACACGTAACTAAGTGGACATTTTTGTTTTCAATAACCCTTTTCAATATTTTTTTTTGTTTGTTTTTACTTCAAAAGGTTGTAGTTTCTGGCAGATTCTTCTTCTGTTAGGAGTAGCAGAAGAACAGCCTTCTGTAACTTCACATTTAAATCTCGCTTAATATACAATATGAAGTTCCTAATAATAACAAATGTCTGTAATGAAGAATGTAATAAACTTACTTGCAGTCTTGTCCACTAAGAAGAGAATTTATCAGTATTTTAAACTCAGTAACGCTTGTTGTCAGTCCGCGCGCGTCATTCTCAGAATCTCTTGCTGGTCTCGATGGATTGTGGATTAAACACATAAATATCCGCGAGTGTTATTAGATTTGGTAGGCATTGTGCTAAATGACATGTTTTTTTGAATCGTAGATGAAATCAAATATAGTGAGCGACAGGTTTAGGTGTGGACAGGTGTTCCTTCAGTTTTGCTCTTCTTCGTGTGTTTTCCAGGAGGGTTTGGAACAGCTGTGGAACAGTGTCACAGAGACACCCACTGCACTGGAGCGGGATATTACCACATATCTAAATCCTGTTTAAAACCTCTTAAATAGACATTTCAACAGTGCATCTGCTATATTCCCTGTTTCTGGACTATTATCTAAGATGCTGGATATTGTAAATGACTGACATCCTGAGGTTTGTATTTATTATACATTCAATCCTTGTGTTTTGTATTAGGACACAAATGATTTATGACTTAAAAATAGTTCTGGATATGGCCAAAATATCATCATAATTTGTTTGTTCACAATACAGTGATCTCTATGCGCAGGAGTGTGTGTGTGTGTGTGTGTGTGTGTGTGTGTGTGTGTGTGTGTGTGTGTGTGTGTGTGTGTGTGTGTGTGTGTGTGAGCAGTGGCAGGAGAGCTGAGGCTGAGAGACAGAGCCAAAGTGCAAAACCCAAGAAGTGAAACAGTCAACTTCACTGTCACACACACTAGTGTCACCAAACTCAGTTCACTTATACCACAACACTTATTCTGGGTTCTTTATTTCTTTATTATTTTATCTTTTTATTTGTTTAGTTCAATGACAGACAAGTGCGATGCAAAAAGTACAAGACAAACAAGGCATAAAATGTAGTTAATTGTACTTTACAAAGGCATATGTTTCATCTGTATCCATGATGATCCCAGGATAGGGAGACTGTCATATATTTTTAATCACTTCCCAATGAGATCTCCACTTTCCCAAGCAATTGCTTCTGTTGGCAGCTTTTGGGCTGTCTTGTTGAAAGTGAAATGCTGTGTGGTGAAGCACTGGTATCTACGCTGCTTTTGCATGGAGCACATGCAACTAACATCCCGGTAAAGGATTTCTCCTGGAGTGACCACTTGCTGGCTGGATGGCAGTGGTGGACTCCACTGCTTCAGATGCTGCATAAAACAACATTAAACAGTTGTAGATGTTTCAGCGAGGGCCTTATATAGCTCATGGGCATCGGGTATGTCGCAGCCGTTGGGTCACCAGCTTGTCCGCTGTTCTTTTCAAGGTTCCCCAACACCGTCAGTGCCCCTCTTGCCACGGCTTGCCTCAAAAGGTTCCTCGTTTCACCTTTCAGACCTCGTCTTGAGCGCTCTTTGCTGAAAAGGAAGAAATTCCCTTTCAGTTTGTATTGAGTACAAGGTCCATCTCTCAGAAAGTGCAGATACATCTGGGTATGTGGCTTGTATGTGGCTTGTATGTGGGTATGTGGCTTGTGACTTATAAAGCACTGTTACGTCATTTTATATATAGATTTGTTATGGACTTAATGACTCTAAAAATGAAATTATTGTGAGTTTAATAAATGTGAGGGGGGTTAATACTACACGGTATCAGTCAAAGCTGTGGAGACACTGGTACTGGTGTATTCTGTGAGTCTATGTCACAAAATTGTATGGTTGTTGTAATGGATTGTGGGTTTGTTTTTTCTCTTTCTTTCTTTTAAAATGGATTTTGAGTCTGTAATAAGGTTTTGATTGATTGATTGATTGTAGATAATTCAGCACCGGGTTCATGTCTTTTGTGTTTTGAGGGTGACACCGTGATGGAAAGAAGATCCCCACCTATGTAGAAAACACCAGAGTGGACAGCTTGGATCTGTCACAGGTCATCATTTTTGTCAAACTCTCGAGATCTGAAGTATCTATGAGCCTCAAATTATGCAACTTGTCAATGACAAATCTGAGATTTTCATGGATCTTGTGGGATGTAGGCTACAACCCAAAATGGGCAAAGCTCACAGAAAAGCGAGCATGATATGTTTTTTGTGTTTTCAGTAAGAAGATTTTTCCATTGTGCAAGCCAGAAACCTTTTCTGCTTCTTCACCTTTGTTCTTGGTAATGGTTTGTTTTCGTCCAGTCGTTATCCGAGTGAAGAAGGTTTTTGTCTTCTTTGAAAGCAGCAGTGAGCATGTTTGTGGGATTTCTGTTGGAGGTGTTCACTCTGAACACTGCGACGCTTCTTTGAAAATCCAAGGCGTTTTCGGCAAAACCTAGTAGCCTGTACTTGACAATCCTCCTCTGCTTTTCTCTTTCCTCTTCTTGTTCTGCTTCCTCCACTTTTTACACAGCTGACGCTTCCCTCTGTTTTTTCCTCGCTCTCCATCTCTGATGCTCACTCAGATATTTTTGCTTCCTCTCAGTATCAGCATCCCAACGTGTCTCTCAGCAGCTCTTTATGGAGCCATAATGGACACAGATCTACAGTATCTGCAAATGTTATAAAATGTAACCTTCTTCATTAAACGCCAATAGTGCGTGAGTGAGTGAGATGGCAGCATTAGAAGGATCCTTTGAATGGGGACAGCCTTCGTCGCACCGCTGTGAGCCAAACCTAATTTATTGTTTTCTATACCCGTTTATCACTGTTTCCTCTTTATTTTGTGTGCAGCTGTGGTGATTTTGAGTGATGATTCCTCGTTTGTCCTTTATCTGTCCATGTTTGGGCCTAAGTTATGATTCAAGTCTAAGTTCTAGTGCTAAAATTATTTTAATCATCATAATATAATAATTACTTCTACAATACTAATGGTTTGTTTTAGACTATACGTATTTTTTTAATGTCACATTTGTCTTGCTGTGATGGCACACCACTACTAAAATGAATACTGATGAAACACTGCTATTAGAAAATTTTGTATTAAAAAAAATAATAATAATAAAATAAAACGTGAACCCCTCTCTTCTTTTGTTATCAGGTGTGAACTGGAAGACATTTTTAGAGGCGCGTAGAAGGACCTCCAGAACTCAGTATCTAATGTCCTGTTGCATACAATGCAATTCTCTCTACAAAGACTGTGAAGTCTGGGGACGTGGACAGAGGAGGAACTGATTTGATCCTACTGTTTTTACAGTAGCAGTAGCCCAGAACAGACAGTATTAATTCTAGAACATGTGTTGCGAATTGTGTTGCCTTTCAGTTAAAATATTTTGTTATGGATGTGCTTGTTCATTTGTCTCAAAAGTATCATAAGATTTTTTCTCAGCGCAGGTGCATTTAGCGCTGTTGATAATTAACAGTCAAAAAATTTGAATCATCAGCAAATCAGGCATAGCCTACAATAACACATCAAAAGATGTTATTATTATTCCACAGAAAAGAAAGAAAGCCCAATTCCAAAAGGATGAGGCTTTTATGAGTGCTTGCTCCACATTTGAGGTGGGACGAATAATTGATTTCTTGCAATACTTTAGCAGTAGGCTACCTACCTCGTAGTACCTGGCACAAATGCAGATTGCAGCTTGCTTTACATACCAAAACAAGCATTTCGGTTCTTGAACAGCTAAGAGTCAGTTTAATCAACTAAGTAAATGTTAAACCCGTGCGAGAGCGATACAAAGGCATACAACTGTCTGTTCTCTAATAGCTCTAGCGGGACCGATGTCACACACCGACTGGTCTGTGCTTTTGGGTGAGTGAGTCTTGCAGGCTGCAGCCTCATACTGTAGTGTTGTTATTTGTCCAGCAGGCGGAGGTATACACACCCGGAGACTGAAGTCAGCAGCAGAAGAAGACCCACGCGTGTTGTTGCTGAACGATGGCGGGTCTCGAGTTGCTGTCGGATCAGGGATACCGGCTGGACGGACGGAAAGCGCCCGAGCTGCGCAAAGTGCAGGCCCGCATGAGTGTGTTCGCGCAGGCCGACGGCTCCGCTTACCTGGAGCAGGGCAACACTAAAGCCCTGGCGGTGGTGTACGGGCCACACGAGGTGAGCCTGTGTGAGTGTGTGTGTGTGTGAGAGAGAGAGAAAGTCATTGATATAAACAGAGCTTCTGCGGCTCTTGCAAAGTCTTAATTCGCCCTGGCACAAAGTAACTAACGTTTACCCTGCCGAACAAGACTGCTAAAACCAGCCCAAGCTGGTTACGGTCTTACATGGTGTAAGCTGGTCTTCCTTGCTGGCCAAGCTGGTTTTAGACGGTCTCCCAGCTTGACCAGAATGGCCACCAAAAAAAAAAACATCTCTAAAACGAGCCTGGGAGACCAGCTGACACCCGCCAACCAGCTTAGACTGTTTTTAGTTGTTGTTTTATTCAGCAGTGAAGGCCTTTAAAAAGTTTTAAATCAGAGCAGAACATTTTAAATTCATAAAGTGATATTAATACGATATAAAATGTTGTATGCACTGCAAAAAAAAAACGAGTATCTTTCTCAGTAATTTTTGTCCTGTTTGTCAATATACAAATATGTAAACATCTTTTAAGCAAGATACGGTTACATGAGTCGAAAATGTAAAATCTGAAGTCTTCTGAGCCCATTGGTGGATATTTGTTCTTGTTTTATTCATAAACTCACTTAATTTTGATCAATTGCGCAGAAAACAAGACTTCAAGCAGTTCAAGTAAATTCATTTTGATTTAAGAATATCTAGACATTTGCACAGGAAAACACGACTCAAACACTGAGGAAGACTTGTGCAGTGTGATCAGAAGATGCAGTAAAAGTGATTTCCATATTCAGGAGGTTTTAAGCTATATCTTTGTAAAAATGAATTCAAAAGTAATGGATATCTGTTGGAAGTTGCTAATACAGCTCATTGTGTTTCCCCCTCGACGTTTACATTTATAGAACATATCAGATCTTTTAAAGGAATTAATTTAGCAAAATGTTTTTATTCTCGCATCTCACCGTGAGGTCAGAAAAACCCACCGCCTTTGATTTGATTGGCCATCTCAGTCATTTTGACATTTGCACGGGAAAACAAGGCAAAAACACTGACAGAAGATACAGTAAAAGTTATTTCCATATTCAGGAGGTTGTAAGCAGGTTTTCAAGCTACTTTATTTGTAAAGTGAATAAAAAAAATGAAATGATGGATATCTGTTAGAAGTTGTGTTTTAAAACTCTGAAGTGCTGCTAATAAAACTCATTGTGTTTCTGGTAACACTTTACAATTTCATCAGGGTCAGGGCTTGCTTCACACTGAAGGGGTTCATTCTGCGATAACAGCCGGCTCGATGTACATTATCCCGCTTATTACACGGCTACTCGCCACATAAGTAAATAATTAGACATGAAATTTTGATCTGAGTTGAAATATTTGATTAGCTCTTTAAACGCAACGCTTCCTCGGAGAAAAAAGCCGTTCCTAGCGAGCGTATAGACATTGCTGCTGACTTCTGTGACCTGGATGAGCCTATGTTTGTTTCTGTGTTCAGCCGCTGTTATCTGGGAATAACTCGCCACTGGATGGCGCTATTGACCAATCAGAATCGAGTATTCCACAGAGCCGTGTACTGACGCGAGGTGTTGTTTCTCCGCAGACGCGAGGCTCTCGCAGTAAGTCCCTGCACGATCGGGCGGTCATCAACTGCCAGTACAGCATGGCCACGTTCAGCACGGCGGAGAGGAAGAGGCGTCCACACGGGGACCGCAAGTCCAGCGAGATGAGCCTGCACCTCAAGCAGACCTTCGAGGCCGCGGTGCTGACCGAGCTCTACCCGCGCTCGCAGATCGACATCTACGTCAAGGTGTGTGTGTGTGTGCATCCAGCAGTGCTGTTGGTGTCGCACTTTACTAACCTGTGCTGGGAAAGAAATGTGCAATCTGAAATGAAGAGGGTTAATGTGTTCCCCTCAAGGACCCATTAAAGGAGTAGTTCACTTTTAAAAAAAAACTTTTGCTGATAATTGACTCACCTTCATGTCATCCAAGATGTCTACGTATTTCTTTCTTCAGTCAAAAAGAAATTAAGGTTTTTGATGAAAACATTCCAGGATTTTCTCCATATAATGGACTTCAATGGGGTCCAAACGGTTCAAGGTCAAAATGTGAGTTTATTTATTTTTGAAATGATCGATCGTTTCGCTTGATAAGACCCTTATTCATCGTCTGGAATCGTTTAAAGCCCTTTGAACAGTTTGCACTGAAACTCTCATTTGGGCCTTGAACCGTTTGGACCCCATTGAAGTCCATTATATGGAGAAAAATCCTGAAGAAAAATTAATTTCTTTTCGACTGAAGAAAGAAAGACATGGACATCTTGGATGACATGGGGGCGAGTAAATTATCAGCAAAAGTTTTCTTTTTTTTTTTTTTAAGTGAACTACTCCTTTAAACAGCACTGGCCACATGAATATCCCAGAGTTTGCGCTCATATTGGCTTCATCTTCCACTGGTCACAGAAACAAATCCCTTCATTTGATCCAGTTATTAGTTTAAAAGACGAATGCAAGAGCCTAATCAAATTAGTCAATAAGGTGAGTTTATTTTAGTAGTAGATCACATTATATTGGTAGTGTAGCAATGCCCTCGTGTCACGATTCGACACATATCATGAGGCTGAACTCACTATAGGGTATTATTATGATTCTATCATAGACCTATTATACCAGGTGGTGGTGAACAGAAAATGTATTGTTGATTTAAAATGCTAAATTTGATATTACATTCATTGTTTGTGTAAATGAACAGGCTTGGACTTGGTGCTGAAAGCCCAATACAGGACAATAGAGACACCAGAATAACAATACTCATGATTCTGAAGATGAAATACAGGATTACTTTAGTCGAATATGCTTGTGCTGTCATTGACTAGATATATTTATAATAATGTCATCAGACATCTGGCTTTATCAGGACACACAAATATTCCCACATTGCATTATTATACATTATATTTTAATAGTAGTTTAATGTACTACTCGCATTAAAACTCTAAAAACGTGAATTTTTTTCTCACACAGTAATTTTACTATTAACTAAACAACTCATTGTCACTTTCCGTGATGCATATTGTTGAATTTTTGTATTGCGATATATTGTGACACGACATATTGTTACACCCCTACATTATATGAACCCTTTTCACAGAAGCAGAAGTCGTCATAGTTGTACTATAGTTTTTTTGTTTTCTATATAGTCACTATAGAGCTCAACAGTCGGGTTTCCCAAGCAAAAACTATCCATTTTCTCCATAGGGAAATTGATTTTTAATGATAGCTTATTTAAGCTTTGAATTCAGCCCTGATTGTTAATCGATGATATTAGCTTCTGTTGAAGCTGTCGGCACACATTTTTTCAGCTGGGTTTTAAAATAATCATGTTTAACAGCAGAATGTCTGGTGAAAACTTTCTCTTTAAAGTCTGAGTCTTTAAATTCAAGATATTTAAAGTGAACCTAAAGTATTCGTGCAATAGTTCCACTTTAGCACAATCAGTATATCTTTAGTTGGGCCTCAGCACTATTTCCAGATAACTAAAGTACAGTAAGTGCAGACTGTAAGTATACCAGTTTAGTATACTAAAAGTACAATTTCAGGCAATTGCAATTTAAATATGTAAATGTTTTTCTAGTGTATTTTGCATAAAATTAATGTATTTCACTAGGGAGATGCTGCCTGCAATGCTTCATGGGATTGTAGTTCTCTCTCACTAAAGTCATTAAGGTCGCAGCCTTGTACCTTTGTCTTTTTTTAAGATTTTCAAAAACTTTCTTGCTTCAAATCAAAGTTTATAATGTTGTGATTCTCCTCATAGATGGATGTTTTGATTCATGTCTTATAACGCTGTAGTGAAGACTGACTTTCAGCACATCTGAAAAAGTGTGCGGGCGCGAGTGCACATGAAACCGACAGCAAATATAATTGTTTGTTTCCCATTTGCTCCAATCCATGATCGTGTTTCCACAACTTTCCAAAAGAGGGATAAAATATACAGAGATTGATTACATTCATTGAGTGACGGCGACTTAAGACATCTTTCTTTCTTCTGACACCCTCACAGCGTTTACTACCAAGGCTAACATTATATAACATTTACATATATGCATTTGACAGATGCTTTTATCCAAATCGACTTAATTTGCATTCCAAGGTACACATTTACATTTTTATCAGTTGTTATATTATACATCTAAATAAGTCACATCAAATAAAAACCTATAAAGAGTCCATTAGCTGATAAAGTCTGTGTGTGTCTCTGGTGATTGTGTAGATCCTGCAGGCGGACGGAGGAAACTACAGCGCGTGTGTGAACGCTGCGACTCTGGCGCTGGTGGACGCTGGCATCCCCATGCGGGATTACGTGTGCGCCTGCAGCGCTGGCTTCGTGGAGGACACGGCTCTGGCGGACCTGTGTCACGCGGAGGAGAGCGGAGGCGGCACGTCTCTGGCCTTGGCGCTGCTGCCCCGCAGCGGGAACATCGCCCTGCTGCAGATGGACGCGCGGCTCCACCAGGACCACCTGGACGCGCTGATGGAGGCCGCCATCACCGCATGCAAAGGCCTCAGTAAAGTGCTGGACGGCGTTGTGCGTCAGCATCTGGAGGAGGTTTCGGTTCTTACCAGCGAGTGAAAACGTCCCGCGAACTCAACAGACTGTGTTACCACTGTACTTTTGACTGAAATGACAAAAAATGCTTCTGGAAGAAAATCTCTATAACAAAAAAAATAACAATAACTGTTTTGGTACAACAAATTGTCAGTTTTGGAAGAAATGTAATAAAAAGGTTTTGGTATGTTTCTAAATAGTTCAAAACTATTTTTCTCTGATCAAATCAAACATTCAGGTAATCATACTTTAAAGGGTCATATAATGCCATTTTTTGTACTAGTTAATATGAATGTTTAGGGTCTAAATGAAAACTTTGTAATATACTTTTATTAAAAATTCTCAGTAGTATTTTAAGAAAGCACTAATATTACCTGGTCAAAATCAGCGCCGTTTCAGTGCATATGCCTTTAAAATATAAACCCCGCCCCTCTGTTCTGCGGGTGTTTAGACTCTGTGCACGTGAAGTGTTGCCTTGATAACAGTTGAAGGTAAATTTTGGAGAAAGAATGGCAGCGGGAGTCTCTGAGGACACATCCGATCTGTGCAACCGTATCAGTTTGAACCGGAGTCGCACCCGGAACAAGATGACGGCCGCAAAGAAGTTTGACAATTAAGGCTTAAACAGGACGTTTCTGAATGGTTGGTTAAGTTTGATAATTAATCTGCTGTCGTGTGTATCACAGGTTGTGTTGTTTAGCTACTGATACTGAAAAATGCCATGGTCCAACGAATTGTTCAGTAATACGGACCGAACTGAAACCCTCGTAGTGAACGGTTTAATGGGTGTATCGTTACACCCCTAATGTATATCACCGATGTTCCTCAACAGTATTTTGGGCCAAAATACCGAGCTTGAAGCCCAGGATCTGATTATTTGTAAGTGTAAATTCGTGAACTACACATTGTAGCTTGTGACAGCAGACGTTCATAAAACCACCGTCTGTTTCCTTCTGTTGGACCGGGAAGATCTCAGTACAAACACAGTTCCAGCTTTACATCACGAATACACTATATGAGCTGCATATTTTAATGCATTCACAGTTTCATCTTCTCTCAGGTTGTACCCATTTAACAGGAGAGCCCCAATCTACATGTCTTTGCTTTAGAAGTTGATCAGTTACCTCTTGTGTTCTTCAGCACATGATTTTAAGTCCATACACATTAAAAGAGGGTGTGTCAAGCAGTCAGAGAATTTCCTTTCTCTACAAAGAAATAGTTGGATTTTGATTTGTTGGATCCGGATGGGTCTTCCAATCTGGTTAATAAAATTACATTTATTCCTAAATAATCCAAAATCAAAAGAGCTCCACATCAACAAATTAGAACAGAATGTCAACAAACAGTCATATCACCTTTTTTGAAGAGCCATGAAACAATTTAGGACAGGGAGGAAAACAATAAAAAATGCAGTTTCTAATGTGAGGTAAAAAGTACCTTTATAAATAAATTTCTGTTTTTCACAAAACAAATATATGACATTTATAACACTTGATTTGTTAAGGCTTTGCATGGACATACCTGTTTCAATCAAAAGCTGAAAATTTTCCTTAATTTACTTGCGTATTAGAATCACATCAGAGAACCCCAATCATCTTGTGTTAATAGAACAAGCTATATGCACATTGATTTGCATCTCGCATCCAGAAACAGGGAATATAGCACACTGTTAGACCTTACCAGGACCTTACCAGGTTTAATTTACTGTAAAAATGCACTAAAACTCAAGTTAACTAAAAAATACAACTTATTAGTGCATTTTTACAGTAAATTACTGGCAACAGTGTTGCCAGTATTTTACTTTAAAAAACCTGGTAAGGTCTAACAGTGCAGATGCACTGTTGAAATGTCTATTTAAGAGGTTATAAACAGGATTTAGAGATATATGTGGTATAATATCCCGCTCCAGTGCAGTGGGTGTCGCTGTGACACTGTTCAGCTGTTCCAAACCTCCTGTAAAACACACGAAGAACAGCAAACTTTAAGCTTTTTAACTTTAGCTACTTTAATCTTGAATTTTTTCTACTTTAATCTCGAAAAATTTCGACTTTAATCCCGAAATGTTTCGACTTTAATCTCTAAATTTTTCGACTTTAATCTCGAAATGCTAGATTTTTTTTTTTTTTACAATTTTTTTTAGGTTGCGGCTCAGGCCTTCCGTAATTGTTACTTCCTGGGATATTGGCACAAAATGTTAGTACTAAAAGTTTCTTTAATCGGCTCTTCATAAATGAGTGGCATGTCAGAGTGTCATATGAAAGCCAATAAACGCTGTCATATTCTCTTATGAACGCAACCATGGGGCAGCTGTTTAAAAGTAATCTGACCAGATTTTAGCTGTCGGATTGGATCAAATCTTAAAAATTGGTTGTTCTTTTTTAAAAGAGAATGAAAATCACGTAATATTTTTTTCATTACCATGTCCGTATGTAGAAATCTAGATTTGGTAGTCTGAATAAAAAAAAAGTGTGGATCAATCTGGATCATGGTGATCCAATCTAATTTTGATTTGAAAAACTGGCCCAAATATAAGACGGATGACAGATTCTGGAAAGCAGAACATGGGATTTCAGAATCCAGATCATTCTGATCCAGATTACATTTTTTAACAACTGGCCAGAGTTTATTGTTGCACATCAAGGGAATTATCCGGTAAAAGTGTTTTCATAGCAGTTTTAGTCACATATCTTATCAGATATAACAATTATACGCTTAAATTGAGCGCATTGAGCGTATGTTTTTTTTATCTTATCTTGGCATTTCCATCCAGCGTGTTTTATGCAATACCCCAAAATTTGCATATAATTAGGTGGATGGAAACAAATGGCACTACACACAGTTAACATGTTTAATCTGTTCAGAAAGATGTAGAAGCAAATGACACTTCAGTTCATAGAATTTCCCATGACTGACTTCTGCTCACTATGACAACTTTTGGCGACATTTCCTTCGATGAGACAGCAGAGCGCTGGATGTGACGAAGTTCCTTCCACACGGCGGACAGCGGTGCGGCTTCTCTCCGGTATGAACTCTCTCGTGTATTTTCAGGTTCCCTGACTGACTAAAGCTCTTGGCACAATGCGAACACTTGTAGGGTTTCTCTCCCGTATGGACCTTTCGATGCTCTTTCAGATATTTGGCTCTAGAGAAGCTATTCCCGCACACCGAGCACATGTGAGCTTTCTCGCCGGTGTGTATTTTCTGGTGCTCTTTCAGGTAGCCCAGCTGAGAGAACATCTTTCCACAGAAAGAGCACAAGAAAAGCTTCTGGTGAATTTTCTGGTGTATCTTCAGGTGCTTGGCTGAAATGAAACTCTTCCCACACTGGCCGCAGCCGAACGGTCTCTCTCCCGAGTGCGAGTGCTGGTGGTTTTTGAGGATGGTGGCCTGCGTGAAGCTCCTCCCACACTCGTGGCACGTGAACGGCTTCTCTCCGGAGTGAACGCGCATGTGGTTTTTGAAGTGTCCTTTGCGTATGAAGCTCTTGGCACACAGCAGGCAGGTGAAAGGCTTCTCTCCGGTGTGGATTCGGATGTGATTCTCCAGGCTCTCTTTGCGGGTGAATCTCTTCCCGCAGTGGGGGCAGATGAATGGCTTCTCTCCGCTGTGTGTTTGCAGGTGCCTCTTCAGATCTGCGTTTTTGTAGAAGCTACTGCCACACTGGAGGCATCTGAAATCACGCTCTCCGGTGTGGATTTTGATGTGGCTTTTAAGGTTCACTTTGAGTGTGAAACACTTCCCACACTGAGGGCAGATGAATGGTGGTTTATTGGCTCCTGTTCTTTTCTGAGAGAATTCGCTTTCGATCTGTGAGCAACTCAATGATTTTTCTCCTGTTATGATCTTCTGAGGTCTCTTATACTGATGATCCTCCTCCACTTCATTAATTTCTTTACACTCCACCTTCACTTCTGTCAGGTCTAAAATCAGTTCAGACAAATAAAAAACACAAGCGACTCAAGAGGTCAAACATCAGGACATCAGATGAACACATAACTGATCCAGTAAAAATTACAATAGTCATATTGTTATTGTACTGCACCAGTGCAATCAGTTCAATCAATTTACTAGGGGATAGTCCTTACAATTTATTTTGAGAGGAAAAATAACAACAATAACATGTCCATTTTTAATGATGCTTTTATTATTAACTTTATTAAAATAGCCTATAAAATTGGCAATTATAGAAATTTACATAAGCCAAGATTTAAAAAGGTCAAAGTATTGTTAGTAGATAACTATCGTGTGTAGGAGAGTGTTATTTTATTTATTATATTATTAATTATTTCTCATTTTTTCCCATTTTTTTTCCAATTTTTCGAACTCTGCTATCTGACTGTTACCTACACAAAACAACACCTCATCAACCCTCTAGCAACCACACAGGACACACTAGCAACTCCTAGCTTCCAGGTTTCTGCTGCTTCTCTTTCAAGGTAGTGACGAAACGCGTTCTGTAGCGTTGTGTTCGCCTTCGGCTATGGTAGAAACATGATGTCACAATATGTCGCCCTTCATAGAAGGGGGTGCCCGCGGTTATGGAGACATATGTCTCATTCTAAGGTAATAAAAACATTACGGTTTATTAAGTAAGGTCTGCATACACTACTGAACACATAGTTATGGATCTTATATCGCATTTCTGTCAACAGATCCTCAGAAATATCACACATCGCACCTTTAAATGTTGTTTGGCCAAATAACAACAATCATCAGACCGTTGGCGCCCTCTGCAGGCATTTGTTATAATACATAATGGGGATAAGATGATTGTTTATTGTATAACAGTTTTTGTTAATATTTTGAATTAGATTTTATTTACTTTTTAATAATGTCTTTATTAAGGTTTCCAAATTGGCACAAAAATTAACAAAATACACTTCTTGTGTGCATTATGTACACTAATGCCTAACAAAAAAAATAGAATGTGTGAGTGATGCTATAAGTTCTGGGCTCATAATCATCTGCTTATAAATAAAAACATGCCATTTGTTTTGCATCAGAACCAACAAGATGCTAAGACGTAATTCTGAAAGAGCGACACGAGATGCTAATAAACATTGATTCTCCTGAAGGATTTTAAACACAAACACTCACTATAGAGATTGAAACAAATGTGATTATTAGTAATTGAAAGAAAAATGCTCCTGTGATTTTCATCAGTCAATGAAGAGTGAAGAATGATCACCTCTCTGTTGCTCAGTTTCTTCATCTTTCTGTCTACACGTTTCTGCTTCACTCTCCTGTTTAATAAACTCCATCTCTACAATAGTGTCACTCGCTCTTCTTTTACACCTGGAAACTGTTGGAGCAGAAAGTCATTATTAGTATTTAGCGCTGAATTCATCATACGATGGTCAAATGTCACTCATGAATATTAAAAGGTGAGTGACGTGAGAGGATATGAACCATAAACTGGCGCCATTTATATTTTAGCGGAAAAAACACGAGAATAAGATCAGGCTAGCGCTCACTGGCTGTCAATACTACCAGATCATTAGCAGAATGTTTAAACTACAGTAAATCATATGCAGTTACCGTTACTCCCGCTTTCCTCTCGCAGTCATATAATAATATCTGCAGAGTCTGAGCTCATTCATCAATGGCCGTTGCTCCGCTGGCGCGTGACACCCGGAAGTGCACGATCTGCTCACAGGCGCGCGCTTCTACTGTCGGGTTGATTTGAGCCAATCAGACAAATTGAGCCATGCTCTAAGTGATACTTGCTACTTTAAAGCGTATAATTTTTACATTAAAACAGTTAATCACATGGAATAACTCTATAGACACTTATAGACACACTAGTTTTAAAGAAATAATTGTATTCTACATGAGTGCAATGAAGACTAGTGACTGGTGATAATAGAGATGGGAACTACACATACACTCTCTGGAAAGAAAAAGATTTTTATGCTCAGGAGGCTGCATTTATTTATTCGGAAAGCACAAGAAAATATGTGTACATGATAAAATAATGGTTTATATTGTAATATATTGTTATGTAATTTATTTATTCCTGTGATGAAAGCTGAATTTTAAGCATCATTACTCCAGTCTTCAATGTCACTTGTATGATATGTATGGATTATATATATATATATATATATATATACAGTTGTCCATGTGGAAATCGATTCTACATTCAAAAGTTTGGATTTATTTTTCAAATACTTTTATTCAGTAAGGAGTCATTGATAAATCACATTTGATAGTAAAGACATTCATAATGTTACGAAAGATTTCTATTTCAAGCTTAAATAACAACTGATCACCAAATCATCATATTAGAATGATTGGTAACACTTTAAAATAAGGTTAATCAGTTAACATTAGTTAATGTATTTACTAACATCAACTAACAATGCTATTATTCTTTGTTTATTGTGCTCTAAATCATTCTCATTCATCATAAAAAAAGTAGTCGTATGTTTTTTTGATCCCTTGACTCTCTCTGGCATTTCTAAAATATACAAAGACAGTTGCTAAATATTATAATATTAAAGGTTCAAATTAACTGATTTGTAGCCTTCTCACATTTAAATGACAGACTGAAGCGCAGGCTCTGGGCTGGACAGGACCAGCGGTGGATTTTCAAAATGAAAATCAAAATTAACTAATCTTTTTTCGAGTCAATTCGTTCATTTCATTCGTTGAATCAACCAAATGACTCGAAAAAAAGATTCGTTCATTTTGATTAACGAGTTTGAACAAGAGAGTCACGAACACGCATCACAGAAAGCAAGGCAAGCATTTGTGCTTATAAAACTTAAACATTTGTATTTATTTTTGAAATGGCCGATCGTTTCGCTAGATAAGACCCTCATTCATCGTCTGGAATCATTTAAAGCCCTTTGAACAGTTTGCACTGAAACTGTCTTACCGTTTGGTTCCCATTGAAGTCCATTATATGGAGAAAATCCTGGAATGTTTTCATCAAAACCTTAATTTCTTTTCGACTGAAGAAAGAAAGACATGGAGATCTTGGATGACACGAGGGTGAGTAAATTATCAGCAAAAGTTTTTTTTTTTTTAAAGTGAACTACTCCTTTAACGGTGGCTTGGGGCAAAAAAAAGCCACAAAAATTAACAGAAATGCCCCCAAAATCGAGGATATGGGGCAAAATATGTCTTTATAAGCACTACCACACTACCAAGGAAGAGTGTTGTTTTCCCAAATATCAGCATGTTAGCAAATGTGATATTGATTTTATAAAGTTAATATTAGGTGACTTACATTTTAGACTGAGTATTTCATATGCCAATAAAAAGGATTACCGTTGTATCGCCATTGCACATCTCGGAGCAACACAATGATGTTTCATTACTGAATGAATCCGTGTTTTCGAACAAACTGGTCTCATAAATATATCTTCTTTTTTTTTTAACTTGCTATGTGTGCTGTGCTAGATTAACTGGGATTGGTCATAGCACCTGCATATTGCTGCCCTATTGTTGGTTCGATTGCTTTCCTCATTTGCAAGTTGCTTTGGATAAAAGATCAGTGGATCTGCTAAATGGTCAGTGTTGCTTTCAATCAGAATTGCTACTTCAGCTTCTACTATAAAGCAGATTATCAGTACGTTCATATTTTTACTCAAGTCTGACCTCAACGGATTGAAGAAATGAGCCAAAAAAGTGTTGACCTCAAAGGAGGAGGAGCCTCAAAGCCACGCCCACCTTTTACATCATCACACAGACCAGTGATCAAAGGTGTTTAGCAGTTGGAGCGAACCTTCCTAACAAGTTAGGCCTATTTTTGAACTGAGTTGTTTACAAAATTACATCACACCTGTTTGTTCTTCGATTTCACCTGAAGTATATTTGGGTATTGCATATTTAATCAGATCATCTTGGCTTAAATTCAGAGTGGGAATGTTTATATTTTTAAAACTATTTGCAGGTAAATAAGTTTTTTTTTGTCCTGCATCTCAATACTTGTTTTTACCGAACAGTCCTGTGCAATCTCTAACATTTTATTGAACGAAACTTTTGAGGAAATATACAGTATATTACATGTATATACACAAATAAAACAATAGTTTCAGAATAAATACAGCAGCACATTAAATGTTCAGGGAGTCCATAAAGACGTTGTGTCTAATGTGAGGTAGACATCTGTTTTAAATACATAGTGAAATTAAATAAAACAATTAAAATTAAGCTTATAAACGGTTTTAGAGGCTATACGTTTACAATGTCCAAACAAGATACTTGCTGTGCAAACATGGTTTCAATGAATTAAACCACCATGAACAAGGACTGAGGCAGAATTACAGACTTATAATACTAGTTAATATTAAACCATCGAATAAATATTAAGACCATGTAAGAGCCATATACATAAGAATAAATAGGTGTAGATATGGTACGGAAGGAAATATAAGCTACGGTATGGTAGCGTGTGTGTGCCGGGTGAAGGCTTCAGAGCACGAGCTCTTGATTACACTGGGAATCATCCGATAAATCATCAGTGTTCGGGATTCTCTTTCCACTCCAAGGTGACACACACCAACAGTGCGGAGGCTGGCCAACGAGAGATGTCTCACACTGATAGAGAGAGAGAGAAAACAAGAGCATTTTAGAGCTGGAGTGCCTCTATCGGGTCAGATTTCAGTATGATAGAGAAGAAAAGTCACCTGTTTGGCCTTGTAGAAGCCGTGCTTGTCACAGTTGGGGAGGTAAAAGCTCGTGAACTTCTCTCCTAACGTCTGCTGTGATTGTGCGATGACGTCCAGAGAGGTGTGTAGCTCAGTGTGACACGGACCCTACACCAGCGAAAGAAGCACAGAAATATTCAAGAGTAAACCGGATGATTCATCCAAAAACACAAGCTTGGGAACGACAAACCATATCTATGCATTTGAATTGCAAATGAAATTTACATTCATTTGAATTATAAAGTGTTAACATAAATACAACACATTTGATGCATGTCTTAAATGAAACGGTTAAAGGAGTAGTTCACTTTAAAAAAAAAAAAATTTTTGCTGATAATTTACTCACCCCCATGTCATCCAAGATGTCCGTGTCTTTCTTTCATCAGTCGAAAAGAAATTAAGGTTTTTGATGAAAATATTCCAAGATTTTCTCCATATAATGGACTTCAATGGGAACCAAACGGTTCAAGGTCCAAATGAGAGTTTCAGAGGCCTTTAAACGACACCAGACGATAAATAAGGGTCTTATCAAGCGAAACGATCGCCCGTTTAATAAATAAATACCAAAGTTTAAGTTTTATAAGCTCAAATGCTCGCCTTGCTCTGTTCTGTGTGACTCTCCTGTTCGAACTCGTTCATCAAAATGAACAAATTGTTTTCTGAGTCAATTCGTTGATTTCGTTTGTTGAATTAACGAAATGACTCGAAAAAAGATTCGTTCATTCTGATGAACGAGATCGAACAGGAGAGTCACGCAGAACAGAGCAAGGCGAGCATTTGAGCTTATAAAACTTAAACATTTTTTTATTTATTTTTTTAAATGAGGGATTGTTTCGCTTGATAAGACCCTTATTCGTCGTCTGGAATCATTTAGAGTCCTTTGAACAGTTTGCAGTTTGCACTGAAACTATCATTTAGACCTTGAACCGTTTGGTCCCCATTGAAGTCCATTATATGGAGAAAAATCCTGGAATGTTTTCATCAAAAACCTTAATTTCTTTTCGACTGAGGAAAGAAAGACATGGACATCTTGGATGACATGGGGGTGAGTAAATTATCAGCAAAAGTGTTTTTAAAGTGAACTACTCCTTTAAGATTTCTAGTAACCGGGTTTAAATAGTTATCATCATTAAATCCAATGTTTCAATCGTATGGCACTTTATGTTACAATGGTGTAATGAAAGTTTCTATACAATTCTTCGAGTGAATCAAACTGATCCAGCCAGTATCAGGATCAGTACCTGTTGGATCAGTTTCCTTCGGATGGCGTTGACTCTGGCCTTGATGCTCTCCTGAGCCTCGGCCGCGTCCTGCGGGTCCAGCGGCCTGTTGAGTCCCAGCAGGTAATGCAGAGAGCTCTGATCAGACGTGATGTCCGTGTCCTCTAGAAAAGCAATGTAGACACACACACATGAGTCGTTTCTCCCCAGTGAAACCTCTTGAAAGCAGATCAACTATACAGAAACGTACCTTCCGCCTGGTCGAACTCAGCGCAGACGGCTTGACCGCGGGTCAAAGCGTGGAGCGGCCGCGGGTCGCCGGGCCTCGGGACGCAACGCAAGCCGGAGCCGCAGTGAGCCGTGTAGACGCCACAGGAGTCTCCTTTCTTCAGCGCGCAGGACGAGCAGCACCCACAGCCCGGCTCTCGCAGGACCTCGGGACAGTCCGAGGACACGGCGGGACAGGCGGAGAGCTGCTCCGGTGAGCATGGAGCGCAGCGGATGGGTTCAGGCCCGACCACGGGGGAAAGATCCGCCGGACGGAGGAGGACGCTCACCAACATTACAAACACACACGGACCTCTCATGGCAGAACAAGCTGTGCGTCGCATCGAAACTACTGTATGTGTGTCAGATCTGGTTCTCTGTGGATGTGTGCCGTGTTTTTATGCTGTGACATGATGACCTCGGAGTGCTTAATCATTGACACACTCGTCATCTTTTTTATTTTTTTCAGTGCATAGGTTTACAGACGTCAATATTTACTGTAGAACGAAGTGTGCTAAACCGATTCCTCCGCAATATGGATTGACACACTTTGTGCCACCAATTACAGGCTCACTACGCCGCCGTTTAGTATACGTTATTTATGCAACAGATTCAATCCACTACTTTGCCCGTCACACAGCTTACGTGAGCACATCTCAAAGACCACCACACTCGGAGTTAGGTCACAAAAACAAGTTGCATAACAGGACGGGTTACGGTGAGGTCTTCAGCAATCACAACATGTTTGTCAGGAGGTGCCGAGCAGTAATTAACAGATCCTAGTGTAGTATTAGTCCAACTAGGAAACATCACAAGATCTCTTGCGGGAGGTCAATCAATAGGTCACTCTTTGAAGACAACAGGTTTAAAGAATTGCTTGAACATTTTAGTTTATTCCAGTAAGCCTCAAAGGACGAGCACATGAGTTCAAGCGTTGTTTGTCAGGTTGATGTTCTTCAGGATCACTGTAGGCTCACACACACACCATGAGCAAATCATTTACATCCCACCCACACACACACACACATTTCACCAACAGATTGTGCAAGACGAACGAAAACAGTCGACTGGAGAAGGAAAATTAAACTTCTGCCTTTCACCTTTGCTAACTAGCAGGAAAAATACATACTCAAAGATTGACAAATAGAAATGATGACCTCAATTCCTTTATTGTAAAGCACGACTTTATTCGACGGTGAGCTCGTGTGTCGTGGCCTCCTCGATGTCACGCATCAAATTCACCAGCCACTGCGGGAGATTCACCTACAGACACACAACAGAATCTGCAATATTACCTCAATAGAATTTAAGCGGTCACTTATTAATTGGCTGAGTTCAGATATCATAGATTACATCTCTACGTAGCCCTCAATCGGGTCATGGGGTCTATAAGACCCCAATCGACTTCATAATAAAGAAAAAAGGTTCCCTTCATCTCAGTGGAATACGATTGTGTGACTTTTCATACATTATCTATCTATACACACACAAAAACTGGGCTTGATTCGGTTGTTCTGAAGGTATGTAAAAAAAAACACTTCTGGTCTTCGGGGTCAGTACATTGAAATGAAAGGGAAATGTGAAAAACTAAATATATTTTCTTCAGGTGTCAAAAATAAATAAAAATCTGGCATAAATATGAACATTTTTACACAGAAATGAATGCCTAGTACTAGAGCACAAATGCATTGCATCATAAAAAAATAACATGCTAATGCTAAAGCTAATGGTGTAGTTGAGGAATTGTGTGGTATATGGATACAAAAGTACTTTATATCTCCAAAAACACAGCATTAATGAATAGATGAGAAGTAAACATGAATAAATGATATATTATTTGTATGATTAAAAATGTATATTTTTTGTACAATTACTCAATCAATTGTTGGGGTCGTATAGACCCCTAAGCCCAGAAGTGTAAATAGGAAACAAAGGTTATTTATTTTAATCCTGCTGTTCCACAAAGGTGTAAATAAAATCTCATATTTTAAACTAGATATTCGCTTTAAAGGGCATCCAAGACATAGGTGTCTTTGTTTCAGCAGTATTTTCAATTTTGGTGGTTACAAGAGGTAAAAACGATATAAATACTGTTCGTTTTCTCACACAAACCGCTCGTTTCGTGTCTTACATGTACTTACATTTACGAGTCATGTTTAATCTGGACTTCTCTGTTCATGCTCTTTGAGGTGGTGACCATAGACCTGCATTATATGACTGACAAGAACGGTTTGACCTAAAAATATCAAAAATGAAAATACTGCGGAAACAAAGACACCTACATCTTGGATACCCTTGAGGTAAGATAAAACATATAAAAAATTAATTTTTAAAGTGAACTATCCCTTTAAGGTATGTTTTTTGTATGTGTGTAATTATCAAGGACATTTTGATTTACCATGACCGCTTTAACCTAGAGACCTCAGTGTTAATGTTTTGCTATATGAACACTAGTTGGAAAGTCACCTTAGACGTGTGCAGGACTGGATGATATACGGGGTCAGACGGGGAAATCCTCGTTGGGTTTTGAGCAGTTGGTCCAGTCGTCGGTCTTCTCTGCACCTGGTCTTTACTGGTCTGATGTTTGCGCTGAACTCCAGAGTGGACCTCCAGAGACTCGTCCGGCTCCACATGCTCTGAGATGGTGTGCAGGGAACTCATCTAGCCACTGTCCTTAGATCATAATCAAGAAAAAAAGTTAATTTCATGAAAATAATGTTTCCCAGCTAACAGGGAATGTTCTCAGAACTTTTTTAATGTTGTGGCAAGGTTCTCTCAAATGAGCTAAAGTTGACTATTAAGAGGAATAAAAAAAAGTAAAAAATCATCTTTTGGAAATTGATCTTAATGCCTTAATAAAATAAAATAAGAGTAAAAATCCAACCTTTAAGGACACCAATTTTCAGGTTTGTGAATGAATTATGTATTGTAGCCTAAATAAATGTTCTTCCTTGAAATACAGGGTGCATAAGTCAGGACACCACTATGCTAAATCCCCATAGAGGGGCATATTTTTAATTTTAAAGGCTAGTTATTTCATGGATCTGGATGCTATGCAGGGGCGCTGTTAGAAATTTTGGGCCCTATGAAAGAATATGAAGTTGGGCCCCCTACTGCACCCATTCCATTAATAAAATCAATCTCTGGGGACCCCAAAAGTGTGTGGGCCCTTACAATTGTCCTAACTTTCCCAACACAACATTTTTTTATGGATGTTTTGAACATTCAGAAAAACTCTTTCAAAACTTATTTCTAACTTTTTCAGAAGGCTATAACACAATTGCTATTAATATTTGAACAATATGTCTGCCGATTCAAAGTCAAAGTGAGCTGCAACTGTAAACAACACATTAAAATAAAACATGAACTGCTGTCATAGAGAGGATTGTGTGAGACTTAAAATATCAGATCATTTGACCTTCATGTCTGGGCAATGTTAGTTTGCTTCAGATTGTAAAATGTCATGGTGCAACTCTTCAAAAAGTCATTAATGATAATCAATCAAAACTTTTTGTTGAAAATAAAATATTTTTAAACATATGAAACTATCATGAACACAAACAATGCATTTAATTGGCACAATAAAAAGAAAAAAAATTCCTTGGTCGCCTTACAAGTCATTGACTCGTTTACGAGAAACAGTTGAAAATAGAGAATATACAGAGACACTTTTCTTTCACATAGCGACAGTGCTTTAGCCTAACCAATTAGACCATGGTACAGCAGCATAACCTTGTATTTTAATGTTTGTGAAAACGAAATACCCTGACATATACACTTCTCAGACAAACACAGTAAATTATTCTTACCGTAACTCAATGAGCTGTAAAAAGTCCTGTCGTTTACCGGTCTCTGCTACAAACACATGGATCCCTCCTGAGGTTAACTGATGATTAAGCTCACCTGTGCATGTTAAAGGTAGGCAGAAATTTTATAAAAAAAATTTTTCCAAATTTGTTTAAACTTTCTATATATACCAATGCATAATTAAAATGTAAGTATCCTGATAAAAAGAGTCTAAAAATCGAGTGTCTCTAGACCGTTTAATCTGCACTGAACGCAGCTCATTATTTCAAAACGGGGCGAAACAACGGATTGGCCTAGGCAACTGTCACTCTCTCGCAACCATGGCAACCACCCTTTTGCCACACAGGACCTGCCTTTTTTCGCGCACTTGTTTGATTTGTGTATTTCAAGAGGCACGGAACCTAGGAATACCAAAACAATGTCAGAGAAAGACCAATCTAAGTTCACATTTGCAGTTCACGAAGCAAACGAGTCAAAAAAAGGAAGTCATTAACATTACATGAAAAGGTAATGAACAAAAAGTTGTTGGATAAACAAAGAAGCCGTGTGAATATCGGCGTGGCTTTCCAGCGTTGGCGAGAACTGAGGGACCTCAAGGGGCTGAAAAGTGACGCCTTGATGGCTTCTTTTCTGCTGGACAGGTAAATCTTTCTTTTTGTGTTTTGATCATACAGATTTTTTTGTTTATGTTTTCAAGTAGCATGTGTCATTGGCACACGTAGCTGCCTAATTACTCAGCGAGCTAGCTAACATAGCTAACAACACATTACTCAGCGAGCGTTAGTAGAGACAGTAAATAATAGACTTATCTCAAGATGATAGCTAACGTTAAAGTGTTGAATTGTGCATAATTTTGCTTTAGATAACTAAATATATGTTTAAAAGATAGTAACATTAGGCCTAACGTTACTCCGCATCCTGGTACTTTTCCTAGGATTACATTTACCCTCTGTATAACTCTTTTACCATGTTTACCATGATTTATCGTTTATTTCATCTTTGTTTTGTTTTTATATTCTCGACCGATGTGTACTGATGTCTTTATCTTGTATGTGTGTCGTACACACTGTGTTGTATGTGTGTTATCGTTTTGTGTCTGCAGTTGTGAAATGTTATTTGATTGTATGTTACTCTTGAAATACACAAATCAAACGAGTGCGCGAAAAAAGGCAGGTCCTGTGTGGCAAAAGGGTGGTTGCCATGGTTGCGAGAGAGTGACAGTTGCCTAGGCCAATCCGTTGTTT